GCGGGATTAAAAAGGTGTGTGGGCTATTTTCGTATGCGCCAGCGAAAATTGATTTTTCCATGCGGTCATTTTAAAGAGCCGCACGTGAAAATGGAGCACGATTTTTGCATACGCAACCACTTACGATCCGTCTGCAATCTAAAATGAGTCCCGTCCAGAAAAATCGAAAATCATTCGTGTACTAGTGATTGAGCTCCAAATTATCGTGGAATAGAGTTCTACGGTGTGTTTGAGAGGAAGAATTAGAGATTTCTTCTTCGTGCACGAAAAACAAACTAGCTAGCGTATTAGCGTATCATTAGGGCCCCTTTGAATCGCATGATTGAGAAAACATAGGATTTGGATAGGAATGCAAGTGTAAAACAGAGGATTGCAAAATACAGGAAAAACATAGGAATGACCGTTTGATTGAACCGCAGGAAAAACGCAGGAATTGGATGAGAGAGATAGACTCAAAGGAAAGTTACCAAGAGGTTGAAACTCTTACTAAATTTCCTCCAAAATCTCTATAGGATTGTCCATTCCATAGGAATTTTATTGTGACTTAATTCATCATCAAATGTTATTTACACATGATATAAATATTTTCATATTTGCACAAAATATTTAAATAAAACGAATGGTCAAAAAGTCAGCGGCGTCATACATTAAAATACGGAGTCAGCGGCATCATACATTAAAATACGGAGGAAGTACAAGGTGTAGACGATATCATATGGAGACAAAACCTATATAAAAGTTGTAGATAAGGATTAGATCTACAATTTTATAGTTGATAAACTTTTCATTTGAGCTTATCTATGGTGCTAAATATGGTTTATAAGTTTGGATAGCAGCAGCCTCAAAATAATATCATTTGTTTCTAAGACAAGAACTATTTGTAGGTTGTAGGTTTGGTGTTAAGGTGACTTTGTGTGAATAGAGAGGACTTGAGTTCGAATATTTCTTGACACGTATATGAATATGAGTTGAAGAAATAATATGAATTGTGGGATTAAGAGTGTGATTGTATAGGAGCTTAACAAAAATACTAATTTTTTTTCAATTTTTTAGCACCTACAAAAATAAAAAACGGCTGCACCCTTATAGATGCCAGTTCTAAATTCATAGTCAATAACCGGCACCTATCTACCCTATAAGCCCTTTAGAAAGCAATAGGAGTGAAAAAAGATGGGTATTTCCTAGCCGCTCGGCCAGGAGGCTCATGGGAAAGTTACTGGATAGAATTATATATCTGATATTATCCGAGCTCAAATCCAAATCTATTAAAAGTATGAATTAGGATATGAGGAGTTATCCATATGTATGTCCTACATTATCAAACATATAACAAACAAACTAAATGTTACTATTTTAGTTCACCAGTAATATTACACAACCGTTTTCTCATCGAATCTTTTTTACACTAATTTCCTCCTAGACTTATTATCTATTATTAGAGTTATAAATAGATATTTGAATATGGTTTCATGAACATAAGATACTTGATGAGCACCTGACAGCGAGCGTCCCGATTTTTCCCTCTTTCACAGCAGATATAAAAATCAAGCAACAACAAAAATTCAGAGAATAACTTGGTTTGGCTTACAAGTATTGCAAGCCAAAACCCTAGAAAAATCCTCCACCCGTGCTTGACCAAGACGAACAGAAGATGAGATCCTCTAGAATCAAGTGACGAACCCAGGATTTAATCTCCTGATCTCGCCTCCTCCTTAAGATCGGCAACATTTCAACTCTGTGTAGATGGGATCGCCATCATCGGTCTTCCAGGAACAAAGCTCGGCAGGAGAAACACCAAGATAAAAAGCATGTCGAACCGGACTCAGAACCAACTCGGTTCCTAAATGCTAGACAAAAATAAATGACTCCCTGTTGATGAAAAACCCATGCTCCGCCGATGGTGCTGGATCTGTGTTGGCGCAAACTAAGTCGACAACAACGACGCCCTGAGAGATTTGCTTAGCTTCAGTGCAGATCTAAAAATTGATAAGATGCGAGCGTGCCAGTCAGCTTGATCCTACAACTGACAAGATATGTAAACAACAGATCAAATAGCTGATCGACTAACAAGCCGATGGAGTAGTTCTTGCCGATGTTGATAGAGTTTTGAACAATCACCTATATGTCCAATATAGATAACGGTATAAAGACAATTGGCTAATGATAATGTAATAAACAATAATATAATCCGGTAGAAATCAATCGGCTAATAATGATGTAATAGAATAAATATTGATCCGATGGTTAAAGTATACATCGGCCGGAGGTCTGATGTCATAAAATCTAGAAGGTTAGATAATTAATGAAACCTTTGTTGCGATCGGCTAAAACCAACTTATATGCAATCTTTGTAAGCCGGTGCAACGTCCAGATAACTCATCAGCTGAAACCCCAATGAAACCCTTATTATAATCAAAGACAGGTTAGCCTTTATGATTCTAGTTACGATAAGGGATGATGCATCGCAAAGTATGCTGAGAAACATAAATTCTAAATAATCGAGTCTTTGACTAAAATTTAGGATGGTGGATACCTTAATTAATCTAATCTAGCAAGATAATTTAGCCGATGCCTATATAAACCCTACAATGTATCTCAACAAATCTGATCAAATTAAGATGCTAAGTTAGATTAACTAAGATATATGATAAATATGTAGGCAAATATATCAACCGAATCAGAGCAATCCAAGAGGTTGAAGGGATGTAGCCTTTAACAACACCAATTTAGTCGATACAATTGTCGGTGCCGGCGGAACGTAGGACTTATCCCTTCGCTGGAGATCGAAAGCCGATGCAGCCCTGCGCCAGATGCCAAGTTCCACCAGTGATAAGTAAAAACCTTGGAAAATAGGGTGGCGATGCGCCGATAGTAGTTTTATTGATCGAGAGAGAGTTTATAATGACCCTGGGTATACATATTTATACCCATGGATAGATACTAGTCCTTTTTGGATAGGAAAAAAACTAAACGTAAAGTTCTTGTCAGATACGAAACATATTTTTCTAAATATAAAAAGAAACTACATATTTTTCTAAATATAAAAAGAAACTAACAGACTCTTTCTAATTAATAGATAAACTGTCATGCCGCATCCTCCTTGAATCGGTCTCTTCTAAATAAACTTTCCATAATTAATTAATTTCCTTAATCGAATCTACCAAGAATCCGACTGCTGGCGACTTGACAACTCCCGTCGGCCGATTCTAGGATTCTGAAGCTGATACTGACTCTAGGCCTATGACGACCTCGGGGCTTACCAAATTTTGACGTTAACACTCTAGCTAATCACCTCTAAGAATAATAAAATAATATGGCATCTATGCTAATCTCTACTATTATAAAAATTGAAGATGTTTTTGCCAGTACTTTGGTACGTCATTCGTGAATGAGCCGGTTTTTAATTCTGTTTTCTTTTGGAAATACATATCTGTATTTGAGTCGGCTTTTAAGTTTGTTCGTTTTTGAAATACACAAAAGACTCCTAATTGCAGGTCATGATTTTCTAAAAAAATATATATACGCCAAACGAATTCCTATAGTGAATTTCATATTAACTAAACTATATAACAATAATAAAATTAAAATAGCTTTCACCCGTTGTAACGCATAGGCATTTTTTCTAGTGTAAAAACAACAATAGAAAATTAAGATAACACCACCAATACCTAAGTATTGAACTCTGATCGTGCGTGCAGGAATATAATAATCCTAATAATCCGGCACCGGTGCCTAATGATCTCGATCTGTTACCTGGATTGAACCGAGGAGAAAAAATGTTGTCTCAATTCCTTTTCTTCCTTGGCCGTCAAGGTAGCATTATCATCTACTGATTTACAACCTCCTTAATTAACAAGCACGGGTTTCATGTCAACAGAAAATTGCCGTTTAGCCATGGACATAATTTGTGAAAAAGAAACTTGATAATAGGTGGTGTAAAATTGTGACAGTACATGGTATATAAATTGTTATGTTCCAAACATAGAAATGACTTTTCCAATATTGAGATTTATAATAATAACTACATATATGGCTGTGTTCTTTTCCCCTCTTTCCTAACTCACTTTCATTGTTTCCGCAGACACGCTTTTCAAACTACTAAACGGTTTACTTTTTGCAAAAGTTTTCTATATGAAAGTTGCTTTAAAAAAATCATATTAATCCATTTTTCAAGTTTTTTAGACTAATGCTTAATTAATCTCAATATAATCGCGTGCTTTGTTTTCCGTGTCAGGAGGCAAGGTTGGAAACTTGCCCTCCCGAACACAGCCTGGGTTGCAAATGCACGACACATAAATGATTGAGATCAAAGCATTAAAAAGATCCAAAAACTAATATTTTCTTGATGATGTGGCTCTATGCATGTCAAGCTTTTGATTCTAGTAACTATACTAAGTAGGTTGTATGAATTCGGGTTCAGGCGGGTTAGGTGTGATACTGAGGAATAGTTCTGGCAAACCCATTTTTTCTGCTTGCGGATTCATCGAGCGCTGCAGTAGCCCTTTGGAAGCTGAACTACTAGCCTGCAAAGAGGGCATTATTATGGCCCTTGGACCTTGCTGCCCATCATTGTGGAGTTTGATTGCTCGGTCGCAGTGAATATGGAGGATGATTATGGAGGGCATTATTATGGCCCTTGGACCTTGCTGCCCATCATTATGGCCCTTGGACCTCAGCATGTAATGGATTTGTTTGATAGGCAGGATGAGGAGGATGATTTCAGCGGGGTTGAAGAAAGCTCCAGAGCTGAGATAGCAGATATCAGAAGGGAAATCTATAGAACCTTTATGGACCTCACTTGTTTGTTGATTCTGAACAATGGGAGTGATCACACGCTTGATATAGCCAGTTTTGGCTTCCCCCTAAATGATTGGTATAATCTTAGAGATAATAGATTGCTTTGGACCTTCAGAGGAAGGCTACGGCTCAATCCAAAAATTGCAGATAATGTGGACAGTTCACACCTCAATATTTTTAATGATGATTATTATTATTCAACTGAAATTTGGAAGGATTTTTTACCAAGAGAAGCTGAAGAAATCACTCAATACTCAGGTGAGCTCCACCTTGATGGCACCAAAGCTGCAGAATGTTGCTTGTATCTATTGTCTCTGAATTATAGGGGTGGCCACATCATGGACTACAACTGGGCAACCCATGCCTGCAACTATTGGGTTTGCGATGGAATAATAACAGTACAAGAAGAAAAAGGAGGAGGTAGCCTACAGGAGGACCAAGCATGGGAGCTTGCAGCTGCTCTGCATCAGGAGATACGTCTAGAGGACTACTCATCTAACAGAGTGCCTGATTTTGGTGATGAATTGTATACTCCCCCAAATCGATGGGTTTTGGTCACCCAGGAGTATGACATGAAAAACAAACCAACTCTAGATACAACGTCCTTGTTCATTGCATTCCAAAGTGTGATATTGTTACCGGATGACATGTTCCATCAAGCAAACAAAGTCCAAGTACTGAGATTGTGCAACTGTGCCTTCAACTTTTCGTCACCTCCTTTCCATTGCTGCCACAACTTAAGATTTCTTGGCCTGGATAAATGCCAAGATCATCGGACACAAGAAGCTGGAGAGGATAAGAGCAACACTAGTTCAGCACTGGAGATTTTTCAGAGGCTATGGGTATTAGACATATGCTACATAGATTGGGAGCTGCCTTTCCCTACAGAGAGTACAAGAGAGCAGCAAATGGCAATGAACATTAGGGAGGTACATATAAACAAGGGAAGGATTTGGCGCAGAAATTTTGCATGGCGGCGATTGAAGAACCTTCGAAAGCTTCGAGTAATTGAGCCTACACACCCTTGGGGTAACAAAGGGGAAATAGATGAGTTTGCTGACATGCTGAAGCTGGAGATCCTTGACCTGTCTAAGAATACTATGATACAAGTTTTGCCAAGCCTATGTGGTGCCAGTAGCCTCAAAACACTGATCCTAGATGATTGTGTTGTGCTGGAACAAGTTGGCCCCCAGGGACTTCCTCCTTCGCTTGAATCATTCAGCTTTGCTTCAAGAGAAGGAAACAAAGCTAAAATCTCATCTATCTCCTTGGCTGGTTGCTCGAGCTTGGTGAACTTCACATTACGTGGGCCATTGCAAAACCTTAGGGGATTGGACCTCTCTGGCACAATGATAAAAATGCTTGACCTCCGAGATGTACAAGACTCATGTATTGGACAAATAATTCTGCTACGGTGTGAGAAGCTATGCACCATATTATGGCCAGAGAAAGGATTCCCAAACCTAAGCATGCTACACATTGATCCATTGGTTTGCCATGTAGAAACAGAGCAGCAGCAAGCATATGCAACCGTGATGGATTTAAGATTTGTTCAATCCTTGGTGTTAAGAAGCAATGACAAGTTCTGTTGGAACTGCAATAAGACCCATATAAATATATGCATCTCTTCTACCCCAAAAGATGCAACACCAAAAAAGAAGACAATGAGCTATTACAGCGCTCAAAAAGTAGTTGGCTCACCTCTACACATGCCAATAGTCACCACCATTCAACCTGTTGTTTGCTACAAGGATGTCAACTTGGCCATGATATCTGCTATTGAGCTGGAAGGCAGCAGTGCACCACGGCATGAGCCACTAGACATCCATGTGGAGATCGGAGAGGGAATAAGCTATGCTAATGTTGTCAGTGCACAAGCATTGAGTGCAGTATCATTTATGATGAACAAGGCCAAGTCTTTGCACGTACATGACAATTTTTCAATCACCAGTGTTAACCCTAAACACGTGATTTTGACAGGGGATAAGGAAATTAGATGGGATTGTCTAAAGAGGTGCCACATTGAGAGATGTCACAAGTTGAACACTGTCTTCTCTACCGATTATACTAAATACTGCTTTGAAACACTGGAGGCATTTTCAGCAGCTGAGCTCATGATGGCAAATTGTATTTGGAGCAGAGGAAGGACAGCCAGTCCTCGGGACGATAGTTCCTTTGCAAAACTGAGGAGTATACACTTACACTACTGTCCGAGGCTCACGTTTGTGCTTCCACTATCATGGCCTACATCAGACTCACACTTGCCCAGCTTGGAGACTCTCCACATCGTCTACTGCAGTGAACTCAGACAGATCTTCCCCGTGGAGGCAGTTGCTCTAATGGAACAACCAAGAGGTGTGCTGAGATTCCCAAAGCTGAAGCACATCCACCTGCATGATGTCCCCAAGCTGCATGAGATATGCGAAATCAGCAGGATGGTTGCTCCTGTGCTCGAGACAATCAGGGTGAGGGGATGCTGGGCTCTCAAGCGCATCCCCGCCATCGACGGCAGCCTCCGTGGTCAGGACAGTTGCCCAATCGTGGACTGCGAGAAGGACTGGTGGGAGAAGCTGGAATGGGAGGGGATGAATGTTGGCCATGACCCCTCCCTCTTTGAGCCTCGCCACTCGATGTACTACAAGAAGGCTCTACCCAGATTCTCTCTTCTCCGGTGAGGCAACCTGCAGACGATGTATCAACTGCTGCTCATTTGTTAAGGTACACATGAATGAAATGCAATAGCATTCACTACCTTCTCTAGTATTTGTTTTCTCCATGTTAATTCGTCTATGTATGTATGTATAGTACACATTACATTAATTATCACTGGCAAATTAATAAAAGCTACTCCTACTATCCACCTGCTTTAATTTGCAGTACCTTCATGCTAACTGCTAGTTCAAATGCAGCTGATAAAAAAAATGGAGCACATCGATATGATGTATAGTAAATTGTCAGAAATATATGTCTCTGGGAAGTATTAGTTGTGTTCATATATATGATTCTCTAATCACTTGTATACTTCTTGCATTGCTTCTGTAGATTTACTGATGGATCAACCAAGGTGTCTGCCTGCTTTCTTCCGTCTCGCTGCAGTGGTTTCGAGTGTTTGCTTGTTTTCTGAAGAATAAATTGGTGCATCATGTGCTTGCAGCATGCACCTCTGAGTTGTATATATTGTTGTGTGCTTGCATACTAAGTTAATTAATTCGCGTGTGTGTCTCTCAGGGGAGTGACGCAGAACCATCTGTGTGTGTGTGAATTTGTTGATTGTCGATGTATGTGCTTGAAATAAGATGCATGGTCTGATGGGCCTGTGGTGTGCCTACCACTAGTTCCCAGAAGTTCATGGTGTGATAGTGTGTAATTGCAAACGAATGGACATAAATTAAATATTGATGCTGCATCGTGGTGATGCTGCAACAAATGTATTGTGTGATCTACATGTGGACTACTGATTTGATTGTTTAATTCTAACATCTGTTAATATATTTTCCTGGCATATGTATGGATTGGAGTGACTAGATAAGCTTAGATGGCTGCATTTGCATAGCCATCAAAACGAAACAACTTCGGTGATTTAGTTAATTGCAATTTAATCATGTGAGGATATATGAGGTTTTTGAGCCAACATTGCTTCCTATATGTGTTATTACTTACAACTTGATCCTGCTTGTGAATTCTACAATAGAAAATTTTATACCTGTAAAAAAGAACACCTCTAACTTCAGTGGGTTATAGCCATGTGTTTTATCCCAGTTAAATAAGTAATTACAGGTCTATAATTTGCGGCTGGCATTGTACCAATTGTATGGCTTCCAAGCAAGCTAACCAAAGTGTACTTTTTTGAATAATGATCCGGCCAACCATAGTATTGCAACGGATATATACTAGAAAATCAACGCACCATTTGGCGTGCCCAATAATTTCAATCTCGTATGTGTTGTTAAGGACTTCTATGGAATATAAAAGGTTCCAATAAGACTCTTAGATCATGCTAGATATAAAAGACTCAGTTATGTTAGAGTTTGTGTTGAATATGCATATAAAGTCGATTACAGTTTAGATTTGGAGTTATACTAGGTGCAGGAATAGAGTAAGAGTTGGACTCTATCCTAATCTCTCTCTTAAATAGAGGGCGGACATGTTGTAACCGTACGGTGACTTAGCAATATAGGCGAGAGGTAACAGCTGTCGGCAGGGGTCGACCGAGGGGTGTTGTAACTCTGATACGCTGTAATTATCTTGGATCAGGGAGGAGCTCCTGTCATCAATGCCTAGATATGTAGGCTACGGTTACATTGTCAAATATCGTGCCTCATTGTTGTTATTAGTCTTGGATCTTCTATGGCGTTTCTTTCGCATTTGGTTTCCGATGTGAAATTCGGGTTGGTTTTATAACACGTTAGTGGTATTCTTACCACAATATACAAATATTTTGTACAATAGATAGAAGATAGTATTGTTATTAAGATATTATTTTTGGATACTTTTAATTTGAGATGAACTTATGTAAATAATTCATTATGGATTTCATTTCATTATATTTATTCAAGTTGAATTGAATTTATATTTTAATTTCTAAGGTATTTAAATATATCTAACTTTTTTTGGGGAAAATATGATTTATTTGAAAAGACTATCATATCTTAATTATAGAAGAGTTATTAGTTTTCTTTTAAATTTATGCTTCATTGGCCATGACGGTCTATTAGACGGAATCTTTTTATTTATATATTTAGTTTTTTATAAAAACAGAAATATCTTTTTTCCAAAAATTACAGTAATATACTCATAATGATCCTTGGGAGGACGTTTTCCAAAAATCGAGAAGGGCTTTAAAATTTTTCTTTTTTTTTTGCATTTACACATTTTTCATTGGTTTTAAATGTAAAAAACTAATAATGCTTATTTGACACTGAATAATTTTAAATGAATAGGTGATAAACTAAAAGGTTGTATAGACCTACTTGAGCTCTACAACTTTTATATAAAATTTGTCTGCATCAGAGGTTGTTTGAAATGTAGATATGAGAATTAGTAAAAATAAATTTTAAATTTTCTTTGATGAATATTCAGACTCCTAAACGATCTTAAAGGAAAGTTGTTAACTAGATGATCTCCTCGAGCTCTACAATTTTGATGCAAAGTTTGATTTCATCTGATTTAATGTGACATATCTGTAAATTATAAAAAAAACGAAATTAGCAAGTTGTGCTGAGAATTTTGCATTTAAGCTCTCTCTTGCTCTCTCAGAGTATGATTTTTTTAAAAAAAAAAGAATAACACACTCCCGAAAGATGTTATGGTATATTTCTGTAATTTTTTAGTACAAAATTTCTAGTTTTTCTACAAACTTTTTCTAGTATCAAATTTGGACTTCACTGCCACAAAAGAGCACACATCAGTGCCCCTCATCAGTACCGGTTTGACAAAATCCGGCACTGATGATGGTTTTCAACCCAAAAAACAAGTTCGCCGGCATTGATCAGGAGACATCAGTGCCGGTCTTATAATCATCCCGCACTGATTGTTCAACGACACATTAGTGCCAGTCTTGCCACTAACCGGCACTAATGAGTGATACATGAGTGACGGGTCTTACTATTTGGAGCGAGATGATTGGACTTTTGGCAGGAAAATACATCAGTGCCGCCAGGTCTTTGGAATACTCAGCATTGATGCCAATCAGATCAGTGTCAGGTATTCTAATGACCCGGCACCCTAATCATATTAGTGCTAATTTCAGATATATGAACTTAACTTTTTCATACAAACTCGGATTGTGACAAAGTTTATATAATAATTGTAACTCTCGATAAGATTATGATTTTGTAGCTGACAACCTTTTCATTTGAGTTTTTTTAGATACTCAAATTCAAAATTTAAATCTCGTTTAAGAAGGCTCAAAAGAAAAAAAATATATTCATTTGCCAACAAGATTCATATGCAGGTGAGTTGGTAAGGATATGTGTTTGTGGGGGAGATGTCTTGAGTTTGAATCCTTGCAATGGCAAAAATTATATACAACTTGCAAAAATATATATTAGTGGTTGGGGCTTTGTATATACATGAGTAAAGATGGTAGGAGTATTCAAAAATATTTTTTAGCCTAAATTTTGAATTTGGCTCCGTATTATCAGTGCCGGGTTTAGCCCACACCCGGCATAGATGAACCCATATCAGTGTCGAGTCTACGAATACCCAGCACAGATGTGCCCACATCAGTGTCGAGTTTAGAGAATACCCGGCACATATGAGTCTATCCAGATTCTACCTAGGTACTTCTAAGTACATCTGTGCAGGGTTGGGACCTGGCACTGATGATGAGAGGGGGTCATCAATGGCGAAAATTTTGTGCCGGGTCTATTTCCGGCACTGATGCCAATTACGAACCGGCACTGATGTTATTTTCTGTAGTAGTACTTGTATTTTTTTTCTTTGGGATTTCTAAACATGTTCATATACCTCGAACAACATAGAGAAATTAAGTATGGACTAATGACATATTTATGGAGCTTCTGACGACTACAACTTCACTACAAATCAAAAGTACCCAAACAATCTAGTATTTCTTATAGATTGTGAATCTCTATGGATGTAAAAGTCAAAATAGTGATGGACGCAACTTTAAAATATAGATGGGGTGGCATCTAGCAAAGAGCTAGACCTAATTAGATAATGATACAACGATAAAAATCATAGTGACCGGTTCACGGCACCAGCAGCAAAGCACAACACGAACATTGAGCAAGTTAACAGCGGAAATTAGTAGTCGAACAAACGTCATAGTCAGTAGGCAAGGCAGTAAGCGTAGTCACGAAGATGAGATACGATGGATGCCTTATGCCATGAATTAGGGATGAAAATGATTGAACACAAAATCATTTATTTAAAAACAAATTTATAAGCATATGGGAATATTCATATTTTAAAATATTCATTTCACTCCCCGGGACTATTTCATTGGATCCCTTAACCACTAAAATATATTTTGCTCATTTGACCCCTAAACTATTGAAAATGGTTTGCTTTGCTACTTAATAGCATTTCTCTTCTTTGTTTCTCTTTATACAAGTCATATTTTAAGCAAATATTTTCTAGGCCATAAATGACATCATTATCAAAGCTTCAAAATATTTTAAAAATAAGCGCTTCAAAGCATATGTAAATAGTGACAAAATTAAAAAAAATATTAAGAGGTAGGTCATAATGGATCTATCAATCATACCAAATTTTTGTGCAAATATAACTTATATATGACTTATATAAAGAGAGATTATCAAAAAAGAGAAATGTTGTTAGGCAGTAAGGGGAACCGCTTTCAATAGTTCAAGGATATAAAACGAGATAAAAAATTATTTCAGGTTTTATGTGCTTCACCAAATAGCTCAGGAGAGTAAAGTGGATTTTTTTATATATTTACCAATTTAACTATTCACTGTAGATTGTAATATGTCCTAAAGAAATAAAAAAATCAAATTTTATGTATGACCAAAATTAGAAATGGTCAAAATGGTACTGCTTATATAGAAATAATACTCATTTGGTCACAAATTTTCATAAATGTTTTAACCCCTACTTAAAATACGTAATTTATCTGATTATTTAATAGTGGGCTCATGACTAATGTGCTAGAAACAAGATTAAAAATGAGGTTTGAGGGTGTCATGTGACGTGCACCGTAGCTGGGCCGGCCAACCCACCCTACCCAGAGAGTATGTCCACCACTATTTAAAGAAACAAATTATAGCATATCCATAAGTTGTTTTTGCTAGCTTCTCCGGATTTTTACCAACTGAATTTCTTTCTCGGAATTTAAAGCTTCCAAATATACCTAAATCAACATTGAACATGGAGAAATCAAAGTTCAGTACATACAGCCGCCGGTCCATATTTTTCTATCCTCTTTTCACTTGATTATAGTGTGCAATGAACGAGGCCACGAACCTACCTACCTACCGCTGCTCAACGTTGGGCAGAGGCCAGATTCTTTCCATCTACCCTTTTTTTTTTCCGCATGCATATGTCTCCGGCAGTATGGAGGCCACACGCACAACGCAACACCCATGTGAGTTTTGATTAGTAAAGGGGGCTTCATTACAAAAGTTGTTAGCTTAATTAAGCAACATCAAAGAGCAAATATATTTATTTAAATATAGGGTGTGGTGAAGTAATTTTGATTTACTAATTACTAATACAACTTTGGGATGATATATGATTGGAGTGAATTGTAATTTAGGCATGTAAACATATTGGAATTAATGTTTAGTATTAAGTCAATAATGTAAATGAGATTTGAATGCTTTTGAGGCCACATTTATAGAACGTACGATGAGTGCTTATTTACCTCGATGCTACACGTTGGAGTAGAAAAAAGAGCTATAGTGAATGGAAATTTTCACACGATATTCCTTTGAAATTATAGGGAGCGAAGAAAATTTGCTACGTTTTTTTCTTAACTCCGTTCCTACAAACTAAATGGACAAATAGTATTGGTTATTCTTAGGATTGTAAGATTCTTGTTTCTATATTCTTATTATTTGTGAACCGAGATAATTACAAATATATATAGCAAGTAATAATAACTAAGAAAGATTCCAGCTGTGATTCGCCGCCACTCAAAACCAAATCAACAACGGCTCAATCATCAGCTACAGCTATCATGAATATAATTGGTCAGCATATTAGCAGCCGGACAGGAAGGATCCCCACGAGACAACCCAGTGTTCGCTACAACCTTTTAGAGTTTGTATAGAAATTGGTTTGATTCGAGCTGAAATTGAGAAAAAAATGTATTGCAATTTGCAAAGAAGCTTAACTTTTCTATAAAAAAAGAATTTTGTTTTGACTAAAGAAATATAGCAATTCATTTTTTAAAGAAAAAGAGAGTGTTTTAATGGTTCTTAGATAGACAAGGAAACATACACTTAATTTATGGTGTGCCGCCAATTATACCTTAAGCTCGGGAAACAATAAGTAGTCAAAAAATCATACCGTAAATTTAGTTCATGAAAACCCATAAAAACTCTCTGAAAAATATTGCTCCCTCGGTTTCTTTTTTATGGCGTTTATTCAACATCGTACATTTTATGATGAAGGGAGTATATTTAATTCCATAACCTCTACTAGCAAATGTATTTTTCCAAACACCTAGGTTTTATTTTTTTCGTGGTGAACAAAAAATCATGCTTTTACTGCTTGTAAAAATAGCGAGACACCTTATAAGTCTTAAGTCTAGTATATCATGTGAAAATCGATTTTTACATGTGGGGTATAAAGAGGTCTACCTTCAGAAATTAATATGTGTATTTTTCACGTATTGAACGTTAGTTCAAGTATATTTTCAAATATGTTTTTTTCAGTAGCGAACGCTATATTTTTCTTAGGTTCAATAACAAATGGATAAGGTCTAAGCTGATCTTTTTCATTTCCACCCACAAGATGCTTGACAAAAACAGTTGTGCAAGACTTTAAAAAAACAACACTGAAAAATAAAAGGCCAAAAAAGTAATTGATGAGTAAAACTTTTATGTCTATGTTAGAGATTTCAAAGTTAATGCTAAAAATAAAATACGATAAAAAAAATCAAATTTCACTCTAAATTTAGTATTCAAAATTTTAATTTTAGCTATTTCCGTGCGGTGGGAATCAGTTTTCGCGTGCGGATCTTCCACCCGTCTGGAACGAGGTGTCTGCGAAAATACGATTTTTCGTGTGGGTGACGCACCCGCACGCGAAAATAAAAAATCGAAACAAAAAAATCAAACCCTAATCCAGTGACCGCCGCCGCTGTCACCACCGTCGTCATCGCTGCCTTGCCCGAGGCTCGCCGCTGTCATCCCCGCGGTTGCCAGCGACGAATCCGGCCTCCCCGCAGTGACAGGCGATGAATCCGGCCTCCCCGCGGTGGCCGGCGATAGATCCAGCCTCCCCGCGGTCGCCGGCGACGAATCCGGCCTCCCCGCGGTGGCAGGCGACGGATCCGGCCTCCCCGCGGTGGCCGGCGAAGGATCCGGCCTCCCCGCGGTCACTGACGATGGATCCGGCCTCCCCATGGTGGCCGGCGACGGATCCGCTCCGCCACCACCACCCTAGCCGATATCGCCACCGCACTTGTCTATGCCGCCGCTGCCTCCGCCGCTCTAACCGATGCCGCCGCCCTAGCCGAGGCCGCCGCTGTTACCGGGGTTGGGAGATGGGAGGAGGAGGAGGAGGAGGAGGAAGAGGAGAGGTATAGGGAGTAGGAGATGGGAGGAGTGGGAGGAGTCGAGAGTGAGATGGGAGGAGAGGGAGATGGGAAGAGATGGGTGAGCGTGGGATAGGCGGTGATGGCGGGATTAAAAAGGTGTGTGGGCTATTTTCGTATGCGCCAGCGAAAATTGATTTTTCCGTGCGGTCATTTTAAAGAGCCGCACGTGAAAATGGAGCACGATTTTTGCATACGCAACCACTTACGATCCGTCTGCAATCTAAAATGAGTCCCGTCCAGAAAAATCGAAAATCATTCGTGTACTAGTGATTGAGCTCCAAATTATCATGGAATAGAGTTCTACGGTGTGTTTGAGAGGAAGAATTAGAGATTTCTTCTTCGTGCACGAAAAACAAACTAGCTAGCGTATTAGCGCATCATTAGGGCCCCTTTGAATCGCATGATTGAGAAAACATAGGATTTGGATAGGAATGCAAGTGTAAAACAGAGGATTGCAAAATACAGGAAAAACATAGGAATGACCGTTTGATTGAACTGTAGAAAAAACGCAGGAATTGGATGAGAGAGATACACTCAAAGGAAAGTTACCAAGAGGTTGAAACTCTTACTAAATTTCCTCCAAAATCTCTATAGGATTGTCCATTCCATAGGAATTTTAAAGGATTGGATAGGATTCAATCCTTTGTTTCAAAGGGATTTATAGGAAATTTTCCTATAGGATTGAAATCCTCTAAAATTCCTATGTTTTTCCTCCAATTCAAAGGGGCCCTTAATTAGAAATGAGCTAAAAAAATTAAAAGTGAATTAATATAATCTTTAAAGCAACTTTCCTATATACACTTATTAAAAAAATACATCATTTAACCGTTTGAAAAACGTACGCATGAAAATCGAGAGAATAGAAGTTAGGAAAGTGAAAAGAAAAAGAATACACCCTAAGGTTGCTTTCAGACCAGAAGAAAGATAAGAAAAGATCTTTGTTTTCCGTGAACACACCCTGGCGGTGTTTTAAAAAAACAAAAATTGTTTCAAAAAATCATATTAATTTATTTTTTAAGTTTATTAATCATGTGCTAATGACTCACCTTGTTTTGCATATCTTCCAGGTATTCTCTTTTTCTCTCCTCTCAAATACACTCTATATCTAATTTCGAAATCTTTAAAAGAATATATATATAACCCACCAAAATAACATGTCCACATCCAGTGACAGCAACACCCATTATAAATAAACAAAGCCACATAATATATTCTTTTAATATATCATCTCCTCTCTTCTGAATTCCGGGGCTTCCGGCGCCACATAATAAATAAACAAAGCCAGCCAGCAGCATCGCCAGTGAGCCACAGCACCGCCGGCAGTGACCAACAGCAACCAATCAGCAAATCAGCAATGGAGAGGGCTCTGATGAGCCTCATGAGGCGGCGCTCCCTCCTCCAGAGCGGCGGACGAGCACCGCCGGCGATGGCCGCCGCCGCCGGTGGCTCACCATTCTTCTCCACCCTGCAGCAAGCAGCCGCCGCAGACCCGGTCCAGTCGCCTGGCATCTTGCCAGGGCTCAAGATCAGGGACTCTGCGTCACAGGTGATTTAACTAATTACTAGTATTTCCTTCTTGCTTTTTTCTTTTAATTTAATCTTGTGATTGTTATCAAGAACAGATTTTTACCATCCATGCATGTTGTCCAGAAGGGAAAAAAATGATTTTCTTTTGCCCCCAAACACATTTTAGAAAATCTTGAATCAGTTGCATGTTCTGGCTTAGTACGGAGTAGTGTTTATTATTTTAATTTCGTTTTTTTTTCTATTTTATTCCAGCTGATTGGGAGGACACCCATGGTTTACCTGAACAAGGTCACTGAAGGATGTGGGGCCCGGATTGCTGCTAAGCTCGAGTTCTTGCAGCCGTCCTTCAGCGTCAAGGACAGGTGACTAATTAATTAGTAATTAAGTACCTGATGTATCTACTTTTGCCTTGATTACTACTTATCATTAGCACCAACTTCATTCACTGCTCATTTGGAATGATAACAATCATTGAACAGCTAATGTAATCGCCATGGCTTGCATGTCCTTTTCTCTCTGTCGTCTTGTAGCCATTTTTGTGATATTTTGATTGGGACCTGATATTTTTCAGTGGCTGGAATTATAAGTTTATCCTTAGATAGCATGTTGGGAAAGTAGCAAGGTTTCTTTCAGACAATAGTCAGGCTCGTGCTCTTGTCTGTCTGAAATATCTGAATGTGACAGATATACTGTGGACCTATGTTTGGTGAGGATTAAGTCCAGATTAGTGCCACTTTTTTATTGGACAAGTTCCATTTTGTAAGCTCTAGGTCTCCACCCGATGGAAAGGGGATGTATTCGTTCACTACTTTTACTTTGTCAGTTCGTCTAGACTAATTTAAACACATATTGCTTTAAGACCAAACTAAGGAAAGGGGATGTATTCGTTCACTACTTTTACTTTGTCAGTTCGTCTAGACTAATTTAAACACATATTGCTTTAAGACCAAACTAAGTACTCCTCCGTTTCAAATTATTTATCGTTCTAGATTTGTCATAAATCAAACAAACTTATGTTTGTTTCATTAGTTTTTAGAAGTCTGTAGATTAACATGTGAATTATATTATGACAGTATTTCTTATGGCAAATCTAAAAATGTAATTCTTACGATGTTAAACTATGTTTATAAAAATTGATGATAAAAATTAAAAAGTTTGATTTAAGACGATCATAGAACGAGGAATAATTTGAAAACAGAGGGAATATTTGAGGCTTTGACTCAAGGCCACACCATCTATCTATTTCACTTCCAGGATTTTAATATGGTCTGGCACAATATTATTGGTTCTGTAGAATAGTTGGTTACCATAGTTCATAGCCTTCTAAAATATGACAAATTACATGGTCTTAACTCTTAAGGATGATAGTATCAACAGTTATTCACCATAAAATCAGAATATGCACAGATGAAGGAAGAAAACGAGAAGCTGACTAATTATAAATATGAAAAAAAATTTCTTATGCATTAGCCACACATGGGTATATAAATTAATTACTGAGCTTGAATTTTGTTTTTGGTGTGGTGTAATGCAGACCAGCAATTTCAATGTTGGAAGATGCTGAAAAGAAGGGGTTGATCACCCCAGGTAAGGTCAGTGATCTAATTCTTTTGAACAACTAAACTCATTAAGTACAGAGATTGACCACTGAAATTAAGCTATACTAAGTAACAAATTTTTATCACAGTGCCATGTTTAAGTTAAATTCATATTTATGTACCATTAAAATTTTGAGAAAAATCTTTCACAGTGCTAGCATGGGCTGTTCAGTTCTTGACCTGGATAACTCAAGGGCATTTTGCTTCAGGAAAAACGGTTTAACATTGCTGTGAAACAAAATCAAACACACCTTCACCTGGATTTATGACATCTAAGTTCTAACCAAAAATGACAAATCTCCTGTCGAACAGACCACACTGATCGAGCCGACATCAGGGAACATGGGTATTGGCCTGGCATTCATGGCTGCTCTTAAAGGGTATGAACTCATACTCACAATGCCTTCATACACCAGCCTTGAGAGGAGGGTGACCATGAGGGCCTTCGGCGCAAAACTCGTCCTTACCGACCCAACAAAAGGTATGGGAGGCACGGTGAGGAAGGCCGCCGAGCTGTATGAGAACCATCCTAGCGCGTTCATGCTGCAGCAGTTTGAGAATCCTGCAAATGTCAAGGTAAAGTCTTCTATTCTTCAATGCAAAAAATCTGCACGCAGTAGTACTTGTTGTAATCTTTGATGAAATGCGAAATCTTGGTTTTGGTCAATCCTGCAAATTCTTGCTGTAAGATGATATATTATGTTTATAGACCAAGATTATATGCGTAAAGCTTCCCATGTGAGCGAATTAAAGCTCAATTCAGACATATAAGTTTCATATTCTGGAGTAAGTATGATACTTCAATTGCTATTGTTTCTGATTTGTGTTGATCAAAATTGAAGGTACACTATGAGACAACTGGTCCAGAAATCTGGGAGGATACACTTGGGCAGGTTGATATTTTTGTCATGGGAATCGGGAGCGGCGGCACCGTCACTGGTGTTGGCAAGTATCTTAAGGAGAAGAACCCCAATGCAAAGGTACTAAAACAAAAAAAAAAAAAACTCCAGATATATGTGTGAAATTAATGCCATTTGTGTGTGTATGCAGATCTATGGAGTTGAACCTGCTGAAGCAAATGTTTTGAATGGTGGCAAACCAGGTAAGATCTAGCTCTCAGGAAGATTTATCCCTTTTTTTTTAGATAATGAAGATTTATCCTTTTGTAGTAGGTAATTAATTACTTATCATTTCACTTGTCATAATGTTGTTCACTGAACCGAATTGCAGGTCCTCACCTCATCACTGGAAATGGAGTGGGATTTAAGCCGGAAATTTTGAATATGGATATAATGGAAAAGGTTATTGAGGTAAATGAATTTAGGTTCACTTCTTTTCTTAGTACATTATGAGAAAGATTCAGAGTTTTACTGGCTAGCACCACAAGTTGGCTTTCGAGACTCACCTCCTCCTTAATACCATCGATTACGAAAGGGCATGTAGCCTAGTGGTTACAGTGACCTGAGTAATACTCCAAGGTCCTAAGTTCAAATCTCCTATGGAGCGAATTTCAGATTGAGTTATTTCCGGGGCTAAGTTCCCTATTTCAATGGCCGTATATATCCGGTTGGATGTAGAGGCCAGGTAAAAAAAATACCCTTATCTTAAAAAAAAAATTAAAAAAAATAAAAAAAAAAACCATCGATTCCTTTCTTTCGTATCCAGCTTTTTTTTTTTTTACATTATACTATATAGGCAATACTAAGTTGCTAAGTAAAACTGGCATATGGTAGGTGAAAGGTGAGGATGCTGTTAAGATGGCTCGAGAATTGGCACTGAAGGAGGGTCTTCTGGTAAGTGTCAGAATATATTTGTTTCTTGTTGTTCAGTCAATGCTAAATGTCAGTAATGTCAGAAAATAAAACATCATGCAATAAAAAAATCGATATTCAAAATATAGAAGATTTTTCTTAGCTCTGCAAGAATGTTGGTTAATGTGGAATTGAATGGCGATGCACAATTGCACTCAATTAACTGTTACTGAAATCTATAACTTTTTTTTTTCGTTGCAGGTTGGAATATCATCAGGAGCTAACACAGTTGCTGCTCTTGAACTAGCAAAGAAGCCAGAAAACAAAGGGAAGCTCATTGTGGTATGTCACACATATCCTATTTGTGCACCATTAATTGCAAAGTTAACATGAATAAATTTCAGAAAACCAGCCAATGCGACTTTTTTTTCAGACTGTTCTTCCGAGTTTAGGGGAGAGATACCTGTCATCTGCATTGTTTGAGGAATTGAGAGCGGAGGCTGAGGCCATGCAGCCAGTGCCAGTGGACTAACTTGGATAATCAACCTAGGCATTGAGTATTTGATGAACGAAATTGCTATACTCTAAATAAATTTTCAATTTGTACTTTAATTCCCCATTACAAATTATGTATCTTCAGATTGTGCTGTCACTGAACTATATAGATGGACTCTCTCTATGTAATTCCACATTTATCAGAATAACCTATGATCTCCCTCTCCTTTCTTTTTAAGTTCGAGTTTCTATTTTCCAATTTTAATGGAACAGGTTAAAAATGTAACAAAGATATCCATCTAACTATCTGCAACTCTTCGGCCCCCAAAAAATACAGAACTCAAAAAGGAGATGATAACTATGAGGATATCAACTTGGACATGATAGTCATTGAGCATCCTGATTATGCCAATAGTGTAGCACCATTTGGAGATTGGAGAGGGAGTAAGCCATGCTAATGTGGCCAATGAACAAGTGTTGAGTGCCGTAGCGATTCTGATGAACAGGGTCGATTCGTTGCATCTGCATGACAATTCTTCCATCACCAATGTCAATCCTAAACACATGTTGCTGTCAGGAGATAGAAGAAGTTAGATGGCTTCGTCTAAAGTGGTGCTGCATTGATAGATGTCACAAGTTGGACACTGTCTTTGTCACCGATCATGCTTACTAGCGCTTTAGATCACTGGAGGCATTTTCAGCAGCTGAGCTCATGATGGCTACTTGTGTTTGGAGCAGAGGAAGGATGAACACAGCTGAGCACATAATTTCCTTTGCAAAACTGGGGAGCATACACCTGGGAGATGTTTGCCCATTTGTGAAGGTACACCTGAATATATAGCCCAACATTCTCTGTTGTTTTTCTCCTTAGTTCCATGTATGCATAGTCCACAATATCATCTGCAAATAAGTACTATCTATATGTAGTATCCACCTGCAGCACCTCTGCTAATGGCTAGTTAAAATGCAACTAATTAAAAATGAATCATATCGGGGCTTATAGTAAATTGTTATTATATCTCTATGGCAATTGTTTAGTTGTGTTCCTTGATATGATCCACTAATCACGTGATCACCTCTGTAGATTTCCAGAACTCCATGGTGTGAGACTATTTAGTTCCAAAAGACTGGAGAATGGAGATAAATTATATACGTGATTGATGCGGCATCCTGCTAATGCCGCAACAAATGTTTCTAAGGATGCACTTGCATAGCCTTTGAACAGAAAACAACTTTAGTGATTCAGTTAATTGGAACTTAATTGTTTGAGGATATGGTGATGTCCCTCTCTGACATTTCTACTGCAAGTAAAAGGGGTGTGAAATGCTATGATACAACCTGGACCAAATTACCTGCTCAATGAAACCCATTGTTATGTCTAAGCCAAAAAGAAAGCAGAAATCTACAATTAAAGGCACACTATAGGCCGTGAATTAAATAGGTTAAATTTTATAAAGCAAGCATTCATCACTGAACAGAAGCAAAAATATTTACCGTGATATCATATATAGAACAAAGTCGACGGGAATAGTATATCCACCTTTTTTATATCATATTCTTGAAGAAGCCTTTAAAGCATTGGCTACTTGTTAAAGATAACTACAGAACACGTACAGAGATATCTATAAGGTGAACAATGAAACCAAAGTCTTAGGTTACAAGGCAGAAAAGAATGCATCTATTGAACAGCACGACACTCGTATAGAATTTCGATATGTTAGGAAATGTAGACAAATCTAGATTGCTTGGAGAACACTTGCCAACTCATATAAAGAAGGAAAATTAAAGCTGCAGATCCAGGCTTTTCAGTCTGCAAATTTTACCCTAGTCATGATATAGGCAAAGATTCTCATTTTATTTCCTTTCTATGAATGGGATAAAACTTATAATATTTTATAAGCACTATAAAGTTTGACTTTAGTTCGATTGATAATAGCTCGCTTAGTTTAATTTCAAAAAGAATTTGAAGGTTTTTTAAGGGCTGGATGAAACAATTATGGTTTTCTTTTAACAAAAGAGAAGAATTGTATAATTACCTGAGAACCTGGTAAGTCCAATTAAAAATTCCAACAACATGACGATCTGCAGGGCTGGAAAAGAAAGATGATCCCACAATTATTTTAAAGAATCCCTAATAACAAAATACATAATTTTCTGGCCTAAATAAAGCCGAGTTAGTAAAGAAGCAAAACTGATGCCTTGAAGTCAGAATGAAGTAAAGCAACACCAAAGAAAGCACATTACATCATGGTGCGAGAGAGAGAATTTGATTTGGAATTTGTTCCAGTTCATTCCTGCTTTAGTAAGCAGGTGTCATGTGTGTTTTGCTAAGTGAAGGTGATTGAAAAATTGCTACAGTGCTCATTTTAAATAGCAATACTTGTTTCTGCTTTCCAACCGCAACAGGTGACAGATCATAATAAATTTGAACTGAAGATGTCAATGATTCCTCTCTCCAATGAAATTTGCAATATTTCAGCATTGCATCGTTCATATCTAAGGGCTGCAAGAAGCAAAACTTCTAACCATGCATTCTGCAACGAACTCTGGAAGGAGAATCAACTTCAGTGCCATTAGGAATGAAATTCCCAATGACCATGACATTCTTACTTCACTGTCTTTGATAGTACAATTAATCTTGAGGCTTCTGAACCTGTATCCTACTCCAGTTGGGGAAAAACTGTATTAGCCAACCTAACAAGAGATTCAAAAGTCATCGCTGCATTACTCTTCCTTCTGGCATCTTTCTCTCAACTGGGCCAATTCTATTTGGTGGCCAGACTATGTGTGTGACCCTCCCCTGCATCAGACCGAGAGGAATCTGCAGATTACAAAACCCAAGATGTTCAGTACCAAAAGAAAAGATGCCAATAAATTTATTTTGCTGTAGTGCAACCCAACTACTAGTATTTAACATCAAGAAAGTTGAGTGCTACCAGTAGTTTCTGGTAATTCCATTACAGGGGGAAGCAAAACCAGCAAATGGTTAAACAGCACAAAATCAAGAGGCCTTGATACATATCCTGTCTATCTGACTTCACATTTGGATTTAAGGCTCAATTAAAGCAATACTAACAGACGATGTGCAAGAAAAAAAATGTTACTATTAGAAAGCATAGACAGCATATGGTAACGTTCAAATCATATGGCAATACGATTCTTGCATTATAATGATATATAAAACGAAAAGAAATCAGTATTATGGATAACAAATTTTAAACTGCAGGTCGACTGCGGTTTATCAATGCTGTCATTGAGTACATGAACACGATAACATACATAAACATAATAGGCCAGATGATACTACCTCCGTCCCAAAATATGGGCAAAATCCCTTATATTTTAGGATGGATGCAGTTTCTTTTTCTGAATTAGTGTTGTCGATGAGCAGGACAGTCCTGACCAAACAGCCCAGGTTTTTTCTTAATGATTTACTCACTGTGTAGACTTTGGTGATTACAGAGTTACAGTACGTAGTAATTTCCATAAAAAATGTTAACATGCTTCTTCTAATTAGGCCTAACTAGAGCCTTCAGAAAAAGTAATATGTGTAGGTAGTATTTTACTAGTCTATAATAAGGCCAACTCAGTTTACAAGCTATTTGAAAATCGAAGGAATTATTGAAGAATTATACTCTTTCCTTGTCCTTTAAGCTTATATTATTTAAAGTAGGCATTATGTCTTCTCAGTCTATTTTTTTACAAAAAAGTAATTCTGGCTGTCAACCTGGAACCATTAATCTATATAAATCATTGTCCCATTCCCCATGTATATAAGTTGAAACTACAATACACAAGGACGCGCAAAGGCATAACAATGCTTTGGAATGCTCTGATTTATAATACACAGGGATTTGACTTGTTCATATCCAGTGCAAAACACACCAAGTAGGTAAACAGCAGCCAAGTCGGAGAAGCTTTTCATCTTGTATAGGAGTCTATGGTGATGAACTGAGCTATTATCTATTATTATAGAACCAATACCCACTAGCAGCACCCTAAATGCGCCATCGAAATTTTGCGACCGAAGCTATTAGCCGGTAATCTTTTAAACATCCCCGCAGATCCACTTAAGTAGCCATACATATCGGCAACAAGTGCACACCACAGCTAAAGCAATGCCAGCAGCATTGGTTTATACACAGTTGTTACAACACATATCCTTTTCATGACATTTGAAGCTTTAAACAGTGCCTAAGTAAGGTAGCGCAAAATCAGTAACTAATTTTTTTTGCATGTAATGTAAGCAATATAATCTCTTACAGGGCCATAGCTTCGCGAGTCCCAGCTGACGTCAGGATTATCCCCTTCCACCCAGCAGTGCCCCACGGGTATCTGCCGGATCTCCTGAGCCGCCGGCACCTGGATCCAGTCGCCGGGCAACGCGATCAACCTCTTCACCAACAAGCTCCGGTGCTCCGTCGGCGACCTATCAGAAAAAAATCACACAAAACAATTCAAGATCCAGAAAAAGAACAAACAAACCATCCCCAAGAACTCACTCGGGGGTGACAGCGGGCGGCAGCGGCAGAGGCGAGAGCTCACCGGAAGACGACGACGTCGCCGCGGGACAATCCGTAGCGGGCGTCGAGGCAGAGCCGGCTCACCAGCGCGCGGTCACCTGCGACGCGAGCAAAACGCGGCCAAGTGAAGCGCGCGCGCCGAAGCTCTAGGTGGCGGGGGGAGATTCTTGGGGTTGGGGTTACCTTGTTGGGACTCCAAGGTGGGGTTCATGGAGGTGCCACGCACGGTGATGACGGAGGCGTACCGGTCGTTGACGGTGACGACGACGAGGGTTCCGGCGACGCAGTTCCTCAGGAACGACCGGAGGAGGGGCCATGGCCCTGCCATGGCCGAGGAGGAGGAGGAGGAGTGGGTCGTGTGCCTACCAGCCCGATGATGGCGCCACCACCTTCGATTCTGCGACGGCGGCGGCGCGGCGGCTCAGAGTGGCGAGCTTGCGGCGGCGCGTTTTGGCGTATATTTTTACTGGTTTGTGATGTGCAAAGAAAGAAACCTAGGAGTAATTTGTTTCACTTGCCTTCTGTTTAAATTTTCGATTGAGTCAATTTCACAGATATATAAAGGATAGTTTGTTCAAATTATCGCAAAATATTATATTATGAAATTATAGCTTTAGCATTCAATTTATCATAAAACAATATATTTGCGGTCATGTATTATAAAATATGTATTTTCGTGATAATTTTAATGTTAAATCTCTGGTGCACCAATACGTTTTTTAATACTTAGGTCAAAATACATGTAGTTTTACGGGAAATTTACAATTTTATGTAACCTCTTCTACTTGTGTAGTTATTGTTTGTGTTACATAAAAATTGCTTCCTTTGTTCCAGGTTGACATTTTCACTTTGGTTAAAATCAAGTTACTTTAAGTTTGACTAACTTTGTAGACAAATATAGTAATATTTATAATACTAAATTAGTTTCATTAAATCAATTATTAAATATATTTTCATAATAAATTTGTCTTGGGTTGAAAATGTTATTATTTTTTCTACAAACTTAGTCAAACTTGAAGTAGTTTGACTTTGACCAAAGTCAAAACGTCTTATAACCTAAAACAGAGGTACTACTATTATTTGATATGGATAAAGACCAACAGATGATCTAATTTAGAGCGGGCAATATAAACAACTAGATGGGTTGATAGATAATCTAATTTAGAGGAGACGGTATAAACAACTGGATGATTTTGCCTCCTCCTGGTTGGTTGACCAGTTTTTATAAGCTTTTATGTTGTATACCATTGAAAAAATACATGTTTCATCACTTCTTTAGCATCATAATGTATTTGGTATTATGCTTCCTCCTAATACATGCAACTTACACATTACACATTTAGATTCTTCATGGCAACTTTCTGCCATTTCGACAAATTGTATATTTATATGGTTATTAACATGATTCTTTTGAAAGCAGGTTTTGTACCGTGGCGTTCAAACTTGTTAGAAATAGGAACACGGGCTTCCAAGACAATAAGCAAACAAAACCATATGAATATATAAAAGTTTAGTGTGACAAATGACACCGCCTATATGTAACTTGTTTTATTATGACCTATTTACATGGTGAGGCATAATAGTACTATTGTCATAAAAAAGGAAAAGCAAATATGTACACAGATAAAATAAGCCAGCTGACCACATGATCACAAATTGGAATGAGCACATTAGGCTTGCCATCAAGTTGATTTCAACCTGTCCAATCTAAAAATGATCTGAAAAATGAGCTGACAATATATAACTTCACTCACAACAAGTTTATATCCTTGTTAGGTGAATTCAAAATCAGTAAAAAGTGGTATTGTGACCATAAAGTCAGTTTTGAGCTTCTGGATCTCCTCCTTTAAAGCAGCGCTATCATTACACTTACCAACTAGTAAGATAACAAGCATCCTCTCATCATAAATGAGCTTTCATTATTGTGATACGTTCACCAAAATTATTGTAATTGTGTCACCCAAGTGTGATAGAAGAAAGTATAAACAAAAATTTGGTGCCCTAAGATTCAATGGACCCATACCCTATATGTTGCTTAAGAGATCTCAAGAGGCTGAATATTTGAATAACATGGATAACAATATAGAAAAGTTATACAAGCATAGCACAAACCTATCGGCTAATAGATAACTCAACTCTTTTTTTTAAGACAACCTAGCTCTTTAATTGTGCCACGGAAAAAATAGGATAAGCTACAGTTTAGGCTAGGTGCTCTTACTAAGTTTTCACATTGGATCATCCTTCAACCATTCTTTTCACCTAACAAAAGCTAACTTTACCTTTTGTTTAAACATGGACTACTCGCATTCCATCCATTCGCCTCCATCACCAAGTCCGATGACTCCACCTCCAAATCTAGTGACTATGCCGCCGCTCCATACACTAGTTCTCTTTCTTCTTTCCCGGACCTAGGGGAACCGCTGGCTTCCAGCAAGGAGGAGCTCGGATCCAACCTCCCCTCTCTTTAGTAGGGCGGCTCCTGTCTCCCGAGTCCTCCCTAGCTCGATGCCACCAGCCTCGACGATGACCATGGGAGGAGACACATCGGTGGCTAAGGGTCCGACTGTGCGTGCAAAGGCGAGGAGGAGGAATGGCGGTGGCTCATAGAGAAGGAGCAGGGAGGGCGGTGCATGGAGAAGAGGAGCGGCAACTAGCGGATGCTAACGGCGTCCTTGGTGGCACACCACATCCAAAGTGTAAAAAATATATAATATGTCTGGATTTAAGCGAAAAATTTAAGATAATGCTTGTAGTTGATAATTGGGTAATAATAAACTAATAATAGCGTCACCAACATGTATTTTACTTAAAGAATAAAAGTAAATTTCATCAAATATCATTTATTATGATTCAAGCTACATAATATATATATATTTTTGGCATGTGGCATATAAACCTAGGTATTATGATCAAAAAGTTTCATAAACCACACCATTAATTATTTTGACATACTCTTATATCAAAATAGAAAAAAAAGTACATTTATACGGCTGAAAAAAAGCTTATAGATGTTAGATGTGATTATAAAACTCAAAAGTATGTAATTAAAGTAAAAAAATATGAATAATATGGTTTTGTGAAATATTAGTATCATAATACCTATGATTATGCGTCCCGTGCCAAAGTTTCTATGATTTTACATGAAACTACGACCATAACCCGGTGAAATTTTACTAAATTGAAAAAAAAAGGAGATGGAGTTCTAAAATCATTGTGCATCTTCATTCTCCCCCGTCCCCTGCGTCAGGGGAAAAAGAGAACAAAAAAAAAAACAACACAAAACAAAAACTCCCGTCTCGTCTCCGCTCCTTGCGCCTGCGCCGATCTCCGTCTCGCGAGCAGAATCCAGAGCAAGGGGAAGCCGCCGTCGTCCGTCCTGCTGCATCCTGGTGAGCATCCACATCCCCTTCCTCATTCATCTCTCGAATTTGCCTGCGCGCGTTAACCCTAGCTTCTCCTCTTCTAGATCTGTGGAACCAAAGCTTTTCTCTTCATTTCAGAGCCTTAACCTTAGTTAATACAAGTAACACTTTGTTTCTTTTTTTTTTGTCCCCGAAAAGAAGTTTGGGAGTTCGACTGAATTGAGCCCCCCATCTCCCAACTTGGATTGGATCCGCCCCCTGCAAAAGTGCAAAGCAATACTTGTCAAAATACACCAGAACACACACTGCAGATTATGCTATTGTGATAACAGTGGGGGCAATTAGGCAATAACTAATACTACTAAGAATTAAGAAAGTTAGAAGCATAGTTAGTGTTATCAAAAAGAAAAACTTTTTATATGAAAAACGAGGGAGTAGAATAGGGGTTACATATTCAAACCGTAATAATTGATTGCTTCTTTCAGTCATTGGATAGAAACCAGGTTTGATCTTTTGAGTCACCTTCTTTCATTTCTAATTGCATGTGTGCTGTTGCCTCTGTTGTTACCTGAAGAGATTCTCATGCGCTTAAATGCGCCCCAACCTAATGAGCTGTTTAATGTGAGTGCGAGATAGACATTATAACGTATCGATAAGTGCATTTGTTCATCTATGCACATCACTGAGTTTCCTGTCAGGAGCTTTCTCATATCCAAGCTCTCACATGTGGCATAACTACTAGCTTGCTAAGTTCTGGGTCTGATTGTGAACTGGAGTAGTTTTGGTTACAGTTTATTTTGTTTTTGAAGCTCTAATTTTCATATGAAGCGATGAAAGCGGCTTAGATTGTTTCCAACTGATTAAACCTTTTTCCAAGTACTAAATCTATAGGCTTGGATATTTATCAGATTGTTACACTAGGAATAGTTATGGTTGTTTTTGTTGGAAATGGCTTCAGCTTCAGTTATACAGCTGAGCCAGCCCATTGCCCCACTATACAAGAATGCATATGTCTCTTCATGTTCTACTATTCTAGAAGCGGGGAGGCCTGGCCAGTGCCTCCTGTTGCTTGGTGTCCATGCTATCACTCTGCCTACTGGGGTTTTCAGGTGGCCCACCTAATATTAATCTTGCATTCCTGCTGCCTTGCTCCTGGTCATCCTGCCTGTCATTTACTCATCAAGCCACCCATCTATAGATTGTACACGTGGGCGAGATCATTGTTCCTCAGACCTCATTAATAAGGCCGCGCTATACATTTTCCCAATTATATGATTGATGGTGATTCTGAAACATGTTTTAACAAACATATATATTCTTCTTATAACTTGCACATGTAGATACTTGGTTAAATTTTCTATATGAAAAATGATATGAGGAGAGTCATTCCTTTCAATATAGATAAGGATATAGGATAATCTTCAGATCTTGGTTGTTATATTGTGAGAATCTTTTGAGCTTACCAATTGATAGGTCTTGAGAACAAGTGCTAATCTCCTTGGACCTTGGCCTTTCATAATTTTAGATGTCCTTTTCTATCTTTCTGTGAAAAATTTCTCATTTGCTTGGTGAGATTGACCCTTCTTAATAATCTTGACTTCTCGAGTACTCACCCTATTTTTTTTTGTGCACGTGGCAAGTGAGATATATCATGTAGTCGATAAATTCCTTGTCATCAATATGGACCATTGAGTTCCTTTGATGCCATATGAGTTTCATGCTCATATGCAACATCTCTGCCCACTGTTTTCCCTGTGGTTCTGATGTGTACATCAATGTCATTAACAGTATCCCTTGTCATTGCACAGTTATTGCTCCATTCTTGAACCTTGCAGTTTAACAAAATTTCCATGTATTCTTCTTAGGAGTTCTTCATCTGTCCTCAAAATGGTTGAATTGAAATTTGTTGCAGTAATTGACAATTTCATGCTTCCTTTTAAAGTATCTAGGTCTATATGAGCATCTTATCAATTGCTAAGGGCCAACTCCCCTTTTTTTTATTATATTTTTCATTGCAAAAAACTTCTCTTTATTTTTTAGGGAGCTATCTTTCGTTGTCTCTTGAATTTCATTGACTAAAGTACATCTCCTTACCTTTTCCATATGTGATATTGCAAAAAATGCAGTGTGTGGAGATGTGACCCTGTTACACCCTAGGGTTAGCTTTCTCAAGTCATAAAAGCGCACATGTAGTGGCCCTTGTTGAATTCTATCATTCTGGTCAATGTTTAATTGTAGAATCCAATGTTGAGATATATATGTGTGCACATAACATTTGGTTATACCTATGTAGTTTTTGATTCGCTAGCAAATTACTAATGTAGTAAGAATATTATTATGATTTTCTGGTTGAAGTGCGTAGATAAGAATATTATTATGATTTTCTGGCTGAAGTGCGTAGATGTACACTGTACTGAGGGTCGAAGTTTGAGTTTGTTATTATGTAAAATTTCCATCTGTAAATACTTTTTTGTCCTTCGCGACAGGAACTTAAACATTAAATAGCAACCATTCACTCACATAAACACAACACAAAGACATCATGCAAAGAAAGCAATGAAAATCAGGGTAAGCCATATAAAACAATTCAGTATAGCACTATCATGATAGAACATGGTTTGAAGTATTGTTCAGTGAATAAAGAACTAAGTATGTGATCTTTTGTACAGGAATTACTTGCGAATGGATGGCATAGATATAGTATTTTCACTGCTAGGTTGAACATCTCAGTCAGAGCATGATTATCTAGTGCACCCATGCTTTTCATATGCTGTCCAAAATTGCAAATTTTCTCCCGGTATCCTGAAGTACTCTTTTCCTTTCTTTTATAGGTTTTTGAGTCAAGCACATGTCCAAGGCACGGAACGTTTTAGTTGCCACTGGTTTGTTGGCCTTTGCTGGTGCTGGCTTAGCATTTCCATTCTATTTTGTGTAAGTCTGAACTGTTCATCTTTCTTGTGCTTCTCAGCATGGAGAGAAAGTATTATGCATTTGCCTTACTTTTTTCTTATCTTCTGTGATTTACTTCAGGAAATCAAAGAACAAACCCATCATTGATTCATCAAAGCCTCTACCTCCACAGGCTACATTTCGAGGACCATATGTGAATACTGGATCGCGGGACATTGGACCTGATTATACCGACTACCCCAAGAAGTGATCTATCTATCCAAAAATCAGAGGGACTCTTCTTGGACAGATGATATTGTTAGATTATTGGGACCTATAACTTTGAAGTTGTACTGACATTGTTATGTGTACTGTAGTCAAGGATTGGGCTTCCAGACTTTTGAATGTTCATGCACCCACCCAAGCAGCGCAAAACCAGCAGTGAATAATTATTTCCAGTTGGGACTGTCTTGTCCTGTGCAAGTGCTCTTATGGAGTTTCAAGAATAATTTTAGCACATAGGTTTACTATATATTATCTTTTGTTAGTTCATGGAATTTATTTTAGGATGTCTAGTGTAGGTGATGCTACGTTTGCGACACCATTACAGTTTCAAACAAAGTGCTGGTTTTCATTTTCTTTTATACTGTGCTAGTATTGATGCTAACATTAGTGAGCCCAGTGATACAAAGATGAGTTGGGAATTTCAAGAAGCAAAGTTCACAGTTGAAAGAATGCATGTAATCTCTCTCTCTCTCTCTCTCTCTCTCTCTCTCTCTCTCTTTTTTCCTTTTTTTTTTTTTTTTTTTTTTTTTTTTTTTTTTTTGCAAAGAGCATCTACTTTACCCACCCAACATTAGGATTTTCTTTCTTGGTATCTCCTCGCCAGTGCATAGCATCGATGCTAGCCTCTAAAATGGGTTGGGTATCATCGGTGGAACACTAGCGCATCATACATTTGACAGCATGTGCATTCATATACCCTATGTCTTTAAGCACCTTCGAAAGAAAGCGTCGACAAGTCTTAAGATTGATGAAGTCACTACGGACGAAGTAGTCAGCATTTCACATTATTGAGGGGTACGTCACCTACCACTGTCATCGGATTCATATCGTCTGATGTAGCTGTGGATACGGTAGAGGGACGTCGGGTGTTGCTCGTCCATTCGATCTGCATCCAACGAACCGAAAAAAATACAGCGGCTTAACAGGCTCTAGCTCGGCTCATGCAAACTAAATCAGCCCACGAACAGCCTCACAACTGCCCTACTCGTTCATCGCCGTTGCGCGCGCTCAATGCTCAGTAATATGGAGGGAAAATTAGGCGCGCAACGCTCGGACAGAGGGAAAAAACTAGGTGTTGTTCAGAGTTCGACAACGCGGCCGGCGGCCGACGAAGAACAACGTGCTTTTTTTTTCACTCTGATCGTGAGTATGTCTCAACTGATTTTATATCTTCTACCATATCCCTCGTGAATGGCTTGATAGAGTTGATCAAACCTCCCTTATTTGGTTGTCTTTTGATGCAGCAACGGGGGTTCCCAATCTTTCGATGAGAGGAGGATAAACTTCGATTTGGGGGAGGACACGACGTTGGCGGTCTGACTACAACTACTACAGGGGTGCTGCGCCTTAGCAACCGATACACCGACTCCACATTGTTGCTGTTCTTGCCGTGCCAAGAACAACATTGAACCTGCAAGCAATCAAAGAACAAGTTGACAAGGAAACAGCTCACGGCACTTGTCAAATGATGAAACTGAAACAAACCAAAATAGGGTTCTAAATACAAGTATCCGGGTGGTCTGGCCGACACATGCGAGTACAAGGAAGTAGCTGCAGCTAAACTTTCATCCAAACAAAACCCAAAGTGCAAAATGGTGGCTGCTAGGAGTTTATATAGGTGGAGGAATGACCAGGAGAGGAGGTGGGAGCAAACCCTAGGTTTTGTGGACCCCTAATGGGCTGTAAAGATACAAGGCCCAAGCCCAAGTTTCTGATGTGAAGAACTATTTTTGTCATTCTGAGCAGCCTGGGTCAAATTTGATGGTGAGGCCACACATAGCTGAAAGTAGACGACGAGATCTTTCCAACAAGTACTCATTTGCCCCGTTTGCCCTCCGGAGTGAAGAACATTGACTTCATCAAATCAACGCTGCTAGTGCTGCTTGCGAACTGGTTCCTCTCCCATGTTCCTAACAACAAGTAGATCACAACAACCACTTAGTAGCACCCAATTCTGAGAAGAACTTGAATGATTAGGTAGGAATGACTTTACCTAATAATTAAGTTCACGAGCTCGAGCTCTAGTCATTGGTCCTTGTTGTGCAATAGGCATGGTTGTATCGTTGGAAGGGATGTCCTTATCATCTTTGATCAAGTTTTTCTCTTTTCCTATGGAAGAATTGATTGATTAAAGATATATATCGAATATCTGCCATCAAAGTTCTTAGATGGAAGCAGATAGGTTTGTTATACAACTCATGCTTTAGTACGTTCTCTGTTCTTTTTTGTTATCGTAAATATGCATGTCTCATACTTGCTGTTTTTCTATACAGAGATATGCTAGTTTAATGTTTGGTACCTCATGTTGGCATGGAATTCGACAGCCTAGATGAGGGTTGGATTTATTGGCACTACTATGGAGGTCCAAAAGGATTTGAGGTCAGAAAAAGGTACACGAATAAAAAAGAATGGTAAATTTTGCTACAGAATACTGCGATTTCGTGGTTTTAGCAGCAGACATCGCCCGATGGGTGGGGGATGAAGGGCTTGACGAGGGCACCGCCGTGGAGGTCGTCGTCGCACGGGGAGCAACAGAGCTGTCGCACGGGGAGCACATGTATGCGCAAAATAAAACATACAGCACCGGAAGGAGTGCCTCGTAAATGCACAAAATCGGAGGGGTTTTATGCAAAGTGTCGATTGGCTTTTTGTGTTGTGTTGCGAGGAGAGGCCTTCCGCTCGAAGAAATCGAAGCCGCGCTTCCCCTCTCCGCCTCCGCCTCCGATCTGCTGCGGCGGCGCGATCCGGCAGCCGGCGACCTCCCTCCGCCTCCTTCCCGACCCTTTCGTAGCTTTCTCAATCCCCTCCCCCCCTCCTCGCGGCGCGCGCACGGCCGGCTGAGAAGGTTTCCGAGGGGGCCGACCTCCTTCTAGGTATTGGTTGTTCTTCCCTCAATCTTGGCTGATTCATCCGGGCTTGACTTCGATTAAGATTAAGATTAACCCCGTCCATGTATCCGGTTTAATTTACTAGTGATCTTGTTGAAGACCTTCGTGTTAAATTGGTATATGAGTGATCTTGCAATGGGGATTATATTACTAGTGCTTATTGGAAAAATATGTGCTCAGCGACGAATATGGCACGCATATCTCTTCATTTAGAAATTATTTACATTATGCTACGCTGTAGAATGACTGGGGTACCCATCTCCGCGATGTGTTTTGTACAAAATTTGGCGCAGGAATAAGTCGAATGATATGCCTAGTAATTAAGCAAAAGAGCTTCCTTGTGTATACTTGTGTTATATGTCAAGTTCTTCCAATGTCATGTAAAAGATTTGTTTCAGTCGTTTTTCTTTGCCCCGCAAACATATGTAACTATCTAATTATCTATCTATCCATCCGTTTGACCAAACATTCACTTCTTCTTTGTTGCAGCCATGTACAACAATTATGGAAATTCTCCTGGAATGCAGATGCCTCCTATAGGGCAGATGCCTCCTGCCGCAGGGCAGATGCCCTCGGCAAATCCTCAGCCTGGCCAATTTGGCAATCCATTTTATGGTGCGAGCTCAGGTCTAATTAAAACTGGGTTAGGAGCATATGGAGAGAAGTTCCTTGGTTCCAGTTCGGAATTCATGCAAAGCAATGTGAGTAGCTAGCTAGTGAAGAGCCTTGACCCTAGTGTTTTAATTACTCGCTATCTTATTAGTTTTGTCACACTACCTCTGAATATGTATTGGTTTTGCAGATTAACAGATACTTCTCCAACCCGCAGTACTATTTCCATGTGAATGATCAGTATGTCAGGAACAAGCTGAAAGTTATACTGTTTCCGTTCCTTCACAGGGTAGTTGCCTCACCAGAAACATTTTATACGAATCTTGTTCTTTGAACTGCTGTACTGAAAATAAACAAGTATTTGCAATGTCTTCTCAGGGGCATTGGACTAGGATAAGTGAGCCTGTTGGTGGCCGACTGTCGTACAAACCTCCAATCTATGACATCAATGCACCGGATCTTTACATCCCTTTCATGGCATTCGGTAGCTTCATTATTCTTGCGGGCTTTACATTAGGTTTCATGGGAAAGTGAGTTGTTTTTAACCATGGTTCTTCAATTGTGAAATACTTCAAAACCCATTGCCCCTCATGTGATTGACTTCTATGCAGGTTTACTCCAGAAGCTATAAATCTGCAGTTCAGCAGAGGACTCATTGGATGGGCCTTGCAGATTGTGATCCTGAAAGGGCTGCTCTACTCGATGGGCGGTGGAGAGGTGCCGCTGCTCGACCTGGTAGCTTATGGCGGATATCTATTTGCCGGGCTTTCCCTTGCTGTCATCTCGAGGCTTCTGTGGGCTTACTCGTACTTCGTTATGATGCCATGGATGAGCCTTTGTATGGGGGTGTTCTTGGTGAGGACGATGAAGAGGGTGCTCTTCACGGAGATGAGGAGCAGCGAGAGGCACTCGACGCGGCAGCACTATTTCCTGCTCTTCCTGGCAATTTCGCAATTCCCCCTGTTCTTCTGGCTTGGCAACATAGGTGCATGAAAACATTTTTCTGGTTGCGGTTTGTCGGTATAATAGTTAAACCGTGGTGTTTAGGTTCATTGTAAAATAGTTTTTCAATAGATTTCAACAGCTTGTGTCGTTTGTCCATTAGAGTATGTTTATCGACAGGGTTTGGTAGATATGTGCCGATGTAAGTTTATGAGTTCATAACTGGATTTATGTTCGATCTCCGTAAAATATATATACAAAAATTTTGTTTATAGAATATTCCTGTTAAGACAAAATTTGCCTCTTTTGATTAAAGACGATTTGCTTTTGCATTTTTAATTATTTTTTCCATAAATCCTTCATCACTTCGTTTTCGTTTTTTGATGCCTGGTTGGCCAAAAACGCGTACACAATTTTGATCATGTGATTGGAGGTAATACATTTTATAATTCTGCTTGTACCGTAAACTAGAACGCATGTTCATTTGTTTCGATCTACAGTTACTGAAACTGGCATGCAATTTTAACTCTGTATTGCAGTACTAACAAATCAACCATACGATTCAAATGAGTAGAAAATACGACCATGGAGGTCTAAACACTGATTCATATGAGTAGCAATCATAATGCTTGCAATACAAAAAAAACCATGATAATGACAAGCAACATCCCAGTTGTGAAGGGATAAAAACTGAAGTGAAACCACCTCCTGTAAGGAACAGTAAACGAGACTCCCAGGTTTTCCTTCTTAAAAGAACAGCACAAATGCATCTGAATTTGTTCTGGAAGAACAACGAGGTTACATGGATTTCGCAGTATGCAATTGCGTGTTGACAGCCATTCCTCAGAACATAAAAGAAAATGTAGCATAGCAAGTGTACAATGGTACGGTGGTGTGTGTAGCGGTGGAAACTTCGGCATCTCAGAGCTGGCAAGGCAACCAAACGAAGGCTACAAGCACCACTGTCAAACTTCATATTATTACATTAGGTATACTCCTTTCGTCATTGTCACAATCATATTGCCAACCGTCTCAGTTACAACTTCAGATGACATGTGATGACTCATCAGAGGTTGCATCGAAGAAGACCATAAAAACACCCACCAGCCCTGTTGGTCACCCTCTGCCAAAACAAAGTCTTGAATTAGGCAAAGCTACAAAAATTGTAGAAAGAAAAGTATACTTAGTTCTACATGAAAAATGATGAAAGTTTCATAAATAGAGCAAGGAAACAGAAGTATATTATTCCTAACATCGTCTATTCATGGCAGTAAGAAACTTAGAATCAAAATCAGGTGCATTCAGGCCTAAAGCTAGAAGATGCAACATAATAATAAATTGGCTTCAATAATTATTTCTTTCATGTCTTGGGCTTCTAAGACATGTTGGCCTAAAGACAAGTGTTCTTGAAATTAAAACAAGAGTGTCAAACAAGTAATGATACAATAAGGAGTGATAAGCTAATAGGAAATAAACCTATGCAGCACCAAACAGAACACATAAATTTCTTCACAATGGAACCTTCACACAAAAAACAAATGCTTCACATCACAGTAGGGCAGGGGTAAAACCACAAATTTATCACAGTACTTGCTAGCTTGAGGTTTTAATAGGGCCAAATGTGATATATGTTCTATAGCACACGACAAAATATCCTTGTATTGATTCATAAACAATGTCATTTACAAAGTTGCAAATGTTAAAGCAACATAATCCCTTCAACCCAAATTGTAACAATCTCTAATTGGCAGCACTAGTACCATCCTCTGCCAAAGGAACAGACACCATTCTCAACTACAGACAGTAAAATTAGCCAGCTTAGGGCCTGTTTGGTAGAGCTCCAACTCCTAAATTTAGCTCCTGGAGTTGAGTCCGGAGTAAAGTTGTGTAGCTGCCTAAACCCAGCTCCACCTCTCTAGTTCATTTTGTGAGAGAGCTCCACCTAACTCCGCTCCCATTTTTGGTGGAGCTAAAGCTGTTTGGCTGAGCTCCAGCTCCAGGAGAGGTGGAGCTGGAGCTGGAGCTGTGCCAAACAGGCCCTTAGCAGTTCATGGAGGGTAAAGCGATGACAAGGAAGCCTCCATCAAAGACCTCATCATCACCACCATTCTTTCGGTGCATATGCTTTGTTCCAAACATGATGACAAAGAATAATGAAAATATTTTGGATTGGGAAAAGGAAGAAATGAGTCAAATGTTGATTTTAATTAGGGGTTGGGAGTAGATGAGCTTGACTGATACTTGAAATGATTTTTTTTTAATCTTAGATGTAGATTCCAGATGGTAAACTAATATACAGAATTGCACTCACTAGTAGAAACTACAAACTGATACCATGGCCATACGTCTGGTTGACATCAGAGACAAAACTATGAGGAATTGGACAGTATGAAGAGGTGTTCCTATCACATAACAAAGCATCCTAGTTGACTGGGAAAGCCCTTTAGAAAGGAAGTTTAATGTCATAGATTCAATAGTTTATGCATTGGTGCTAAGTACACAAATGTTCCAGTCTCCAACCTATTGTCATCCGTATCACAATAAAACAAGCTAATTACCGATGAAGTTACTTTGCAAAGGACAAGGAACTTACCAAAAATGATTTAACCTGTTTAGCTACTGTTACAGGTTAAAAAACTATCCCCCCCAGACTTTATTTCTGGCTTTTTGGGACAGAGGTAGTAAGTAACATGTCTTTCCAGCATTGGGCATTTAAAAAGCAAAATGATGAGGTGTAGAAATGTGTTATTGTCATATGATATTAGGAGTACAATTCGATGATTTAACAGAAGATCAGTATGTGACACTATAATCATGATGAACCACCTTTATATCAGAAGCACTAAGATAGCATCCAACACTTTATATGAAAAACCTAACCACTTATACATAATATGAGTAGGCATACCAAATTTATGTACGTTGTGAACTGTAACCAGTCAAGCATTGTCTAGTCCAGTTACAACAAAAGAGTTGATCATGTTCCAACCATTCATAATAGCTCATAAAAAAGCCGGTTTTCATATGTACTATAGAACTAGAAAACATATATAGTTTCACACAAATTAACAAGTACAAGATGCTGATATAGATTATTATTTTCCATTAGAGCATGTTTGGGTCAAAATATCTATGCATTTAGGCTTAATATAGATACCCAAAATCCCAAATCCATGCAAGTGACATGTCAATAATCATATGCTAAATTCTAACATAAAGCCAGAGAAACCCAGATTTGATAAAGAGCTACAGATGGGTCATACTACCCCCAAATGGCAGCATGAATAGTTGAAGATCGTAGACTATTGTTCTATAATATAGAGCTTCATAACTTTATAAGTAAACAAACTTCAAAAGGTAGCAATAAGTCATCATACATATTAAATTCATACAAAAACTTTTCAAGTTTATTAGTTTATTTATACCCAAATCAGAGTGCGACCTGAATCCTGTACAACTATGTTCTATTAGATTACGTGGATAAGCCATGCTGATATCACAATGCAACATGATTATAATTGTTGTACTCTTAATCAGTAATCACACGGATAGAACAAGCATATAAAAGCAGTTAAAACATCCTACTACCATTCAAATTATCATAGCCTTCATAAGGCCTAACTAGTCTACCATGACTTTTGCAATGGTGTATGCTAATTTGATTAATCCCAACAATCTCTCTGTTTATAACCAGGGAGCAGTAAGTATACACATAAATGCAATATTTTGGGCAGAAAGGAAATTAACGATCGCATCTAATTGGGGAAAGGTGTGGTGTCTCGATAAAGCATTTAACTGCTCAAGAGCCATATCAAAACTCAAAAGAAGCTTTAGAAGAGCCATAAGGTCCATAATTGAGTAAGAAATAACAAAATAGATCTAGCCAGAATTGCTAAAACCTAAAAGTAACATTATGTGGCAAAGATAATGTCATGCAAAATGCAAGAATGCTAGGAACAGAGTATGCCAGTGTCCACACACTAAGCCACTAAAATGCAAACAGGTCACCATACTTAAGGTAATAAGGTAATGTGTGTGTGTTTCTGAACCGCACAATAAACTAACAAATGAAGAGATGTGTTATATGTCAAAACTGAAAAGCCAACAAGATCTTAATATACCTCACTGTTGAGCCAGATCGCCATTTAAGATTCTTAAGGTGCAGTTTGTCTTTGTGCCAGCGTCCCAAGATTACGAGCCCGACAAGAGCAGCTGCAACCACCACAGACCAGAGAGCATTTGTTTCCTTGGCTTGGTGATACAGGCATGACATATGTTTCTTCAGCCAGCATTTGCAAGGGGCGCCAGAATCACGGCTTTTGCTGTCCGCAGATTCTGAGGGCAGATCTGATTTGTCATGAGAGTCATCAAAATCATTATCATCATCTAAACCTTGCTCCTCGTCCTGAGCATGAAACGAGCCATGCTCAGCAGCATCACCCATCATCATCTCTACATCATTGGCCGAGAGGTTCCTTCCTTCATCATAGAACTGAATCCTCTCCAACCCAGCACCATAGTTCCCACCGACATTCTTGAAACCCTCGTCTTCCACGCTCGTGCTCGCTTCCTGCGCATCCTTCTTATGCTGGATGTCATCAAAGCCGGCATCGATCGGCAGATTCTCATGCTCGCTTGGAGGGAACACAAAGTGGCCAGACATGAACAGCGCGCTCTCCGAGCCCCGCCCTTCCTGACTTCCATCAAGGCCTTTGGTCTGGTCTCCTTCCTGACTTGCATCAAGGCCTTTGGTCTCAGCCGCCGGCCTGTCTCCTGCTCCACCCGGCCCCGGCGCCGCCGCATAGGCGGACGCAGTAAGAGTCACCACCTCCCAGTCCGCTCCACGGGGAGTTGCTCCCTCTCCCGCCGCCTCCTTGTCGTTATCAGCCATATCCACAAATCTGATCATCAAGAAAATCACTCCAACATGAGAATCAGGTTAACCCTCACCAAACTAAACAAAATAAATAAAAATTGAAAAGCTGCTACTGCTATCATCAGTTTACTAGTAGTACATAGTACACCACGCATCAAACCAAAGCAATCCAATCCATCAGCACATGGTACATGGGGGGACTTCAGATCTAGAATCTTAGGGCTGGATGCAAGCAAATCTAGTCTAGAGAGAGAAGGGGATGAGGATGAGGATGCGCGTAACGGGTGGACTGCTCACCAGGGAGGGAGGATGCGGCGGAAGCAGCGGCGGCGGCGCGGGATGGAGATCGAATCGGCGGCGGCGGCGGGAGAGGAGAAGGGAAGGCGATCGTGGAGGGATATGGTGCCAAGGCGCAGAGGGAGGAGGAGTGTGGGTTAGGTTTGCACGTTGCGTGAAAAAACAAAACCGATGATGATTTTTTGGTCAATGTTGTAAACGGACCATCATCGCAGATAATAATAACTCCCTCCGTCCCAAATTACCATTACAGGACACCCTTTTTTTAAGAAAAATAAATAATAATAACTCCCTCCGTCATTAAATATTTGATGTCGTTAATTTTTCTAAACATGTTTGACCGTTCGTATTATTCAAAAAAATTAAGTAATTATTAATTTTTTCCCTATCATTTAATTTATTTTTAAATATACTTTTATGTATACATATAGTTTTACATATCTCACAAAAGTTTTTAATAAAACGAATAATCAAACATGTTTAAAGTCAACGGCATCAAATGTTTAGGGACAAAGGGAGTATATGCTAAATATTATATATGTTATATCACTGTATTCAAATTTTAAAGTACTTTCAAGTGATGCTAATATCATATTTGTTGGAAATATAATATGAGATAAATTAATAGTATGTTATTGAAGACCGTGTAAAAAAATATAGGTCTTATAATTTGGGACGAAGAGAGTAATAAGGTAGAAAATCCAAGAAATACTTGTCCAATTTTAGAAAATATCATAAAAAAGTACGAGTTTCAAAATAGTAACGTTACATGTGACTTTACTAAAAAAATACTATCATCTTTAGGATGAACATGTATTTCGCGGGATCAAGATGGATGGAACCCTAACGATTATGGTATTTTTTTTTCACAAAGTCGCTTTACGATGACATTTTATGTATCTCGAATTTGTCGATGGTATTTATTGAAATTAATTGGACACTTGTAAATGGTATGTTTTATATTTTCTCTTATTAAAATCTTAATTTTTACATATGATTTTATGATTCTAATTATTTGGCACATTTTCGGACCTTAGATATATTCACACTGGATTTAGACTTTATAAATTGAATTAAAGTGGTTAATAATTTTATGATTTATTCAAATGTTACATATCTATATCAATGGATTTACAAAGTTAGAAATACATGGCTTCACGAATCATAATATAGTGTTGTGACAAACATGGCCTAAGATGCGAATCTACGATTTTATGATTCTTTTTACAGGATTCTAAGATTATGATTTTACGTATAACTTTCGACTTGGAATCACAATTTCAACAACTTTATAGATAACCTAAGTCAAAGACTCATCTTGGCATAATTTCATCGGAAATGCTACTGGGCGAGCGATTGCCCTCGCTCTCCCAGGGCGATCAGTTTTCCAACCCCCCCTTCCCTCCCTCCACCTCTCCACCTGGTTTCCTTTTTTGGCACCACATTATTTTCCTATTTTAGTAAATTTATACACCTAAAGTTTACACATCTAAAATTTAGAGACCAAAAGTTTATATATCCGATTCAAATTTGAATTTGAATTCAAATATTTTTTTATATATAGTATTTATATACATCTAAAGTTTATACATCTAAAGTTTATAGACCTAAAGTTTATAAGTCAAAAGTTTATATACCCGTTTCAAATTTGAATTTGAATTCAAATATTTTTCATATATAGTATTTCTATACATCTAAAGTTTATACACCTAAAGTTTATAGACCTAAAGTTTATATACCCGATTCAAATTTGAATTTGAATTATATCTGATTCAAATTTGAATTTGAATTATATCTGATTCAAATTTGAATTTGAATTCAAATATTTCTATATATAGTATTTCTATACATCTAAAGTTTATACACCTAAAGTTTATAGACCCAAAGTTTATAAGTCAAAAGTTTACATACCCGATTCAAATTTGAATTTGAATTCAAATTTTTTATATATAGTATTTCTATACATAAATTTTTCTAACTTTTATTTTTCAAAAAAATTTGTGTGGTCTACTGTAGTAGAAAGAGGAGAAGGGGAGGAGGAAGGGGGAGAAGAGGGAGGAGTATAGGGGGAGGGGGGGCCGGATCCGATCGCTGGGCGATCGTCCTGGCGATCGATTGCCCATTAGCCCCCCCTAATTTCATATCCCAAAACTATTTTCACTTCTTAACTCATGTATTTTATCTATTTGTGATTATATTGACCATTTAGATGAATATTTTTTCTATGTTATAGGAAATATAAAATTTTAAGTTACTATAATTTAATTTACAAACTCCAAATCTGCCGACAATCTGAGATGGAATTGTGCCAATCACGTCTTACATTTGGTTCTAAACGAGTCTCTTTGTTATTGTCACACCCTAAAAATTCAAAATATATAAATTGTTGTTTAATTGGAATTTTTAGAAATAATTTTAAAAGCCTTGAAGAGAAGATCTAATTTTAATTAATAAATTCCAATGTAAAATGGGGCCAGATAAAATTTCATTAAATACTTTACTTAATTCTATAATTCCTAGATTTTTCTAGGATTTATTTGAGCTAAGGAAGTATTTTTAATAAATGGAATTGCATTTCATGAATAATTTAAATTGAAAAAGGTTTTTAAAAGTCTCTTTTGGCTTTGGGCCGAAAGTCGGCCCAAAACCGTTCTCTCTCTCCTCGGCCCAAGTCGGCCCAGTCCGCCGCAGCCGCGCGCGCGCCCTCGCTCGCTGACAGGTGGGGCCCGCCTGTCGGAGTCGTCGTCTTCGTCGCGCCGCCGCCGCCCGAAACCCTAGCCGAGCCGCGCCGCCGTCTCCTTCCAAATTCGGCCGTGTCTTTCCTTCTCCGGCCGAATCGTTAGAGGGGAAATGATCCTCGGGATCTCCTCTACCTTTTCTCTTTTGGAATCATCGGCTAAAATCGCTTGGAAAGTGTTTGATTCGAGGTTGATTCGGATCGGTTTTTCTCTCTCCGAGCCCGAGGTTTCCTTCGTGTCGCCGGCCGCCGTGGGCCTTTGCCGCCGCCTCCTAGCCCCTTTAAAAGGATCCCCGGTGTCTCCTCTACCCGCCGCCACCCTCGCCTTCGCCTCTCGTCGCCGGTAGAGCCCTAGCGCTGTGTGACCTCGCGCCGCCGTCGTCGCCGCTGCTCCAGCCGTGCGCCGCCGCCGTTCCAGTCGTCGCCGTCGCTCGGGAAGGTCGTCATCGTGGTCGCCGTCGCGTCGCCGTCCTCGTCTGCTCCTCCGCCGTTGCTGTAGACTGCCGGAGCACCGTCGCCGCCGTCGACCCGATCTTCTCCGCCGCTTCGACCTCGACGCCGTTGCCGTCCGTTGATCTTCCGCTGCTTCTTTGGTCACCGGTGAGTTCGCCGCGTCGCGCTCTACGTCCTGGTGCCCTCCGTTCTCGTCGTCGCGCCATCGTTCGCCGGCGAGCTTGCGCCGCCCGAGCCGCCGCCGGTGGTGACGTCACCGCTGACGTCATCGTGGCCGTTTGCCGTGAGCCGGTCGTGGACCGTTCGATCTCGGCCGTCCGTTTTGGATGGATCGATCTCGGCCGTCCGTTTCCGTGAACCGCCGCCGTGCGCCCGGTCCACCGCAAACCCTAGCCGCTGACGCAATAAATCCCTTTTTCCTTTTCAAAAATAATTCATTATTGCGTCATAATTCAATTAAAATCGATATAAGTGTTTTAATCCGATTAAATCTTCAAAAATTCATAACTAATTCATCTTAGCTCGGATTTAGTTGGTTCAAGTCTCTAAATTTTTCTAAAATTGAGATCTACATGTTAAAAATATCCACATGTACTGTTCATGCTTGTTTATGTGCTGTTTTGGTGATTTTGCTTCTTTCTGTTTAGATTACGACGTTTCCGGAGAGTCCGTTTTCGCAGGAGGAGACTTTGAAGAGTTCCAAGGCCAGCAAGGCAAGTCACACAGATCCTAAACAACCCTTGAGCATGTTGATCCTATTTAAAGCTATTGTTTCTATTCAACTATTGCATCTATTTTCGAATGTCATTGGGTGGAATTAACCTATTCTTTGTTATAGCCCTTTTGTTCTTGATTACTTTATTCCTTGATACCTTGGGTTATTATAACTTGACTAGTTGAGCTTTATATATTGGTTCAACTAGATATTAGATATGATTGCTTAGCCAAGCTTAGAAACATTAGCACACTATTGGGATAACTTATGATTCATTATTATTTAATGATGGCTAAATGATAGCTCACGATGGTCAATCGTGATTGGTTAATTAATTAATGTGCCAACTAAAACCTGATAATGGTGGGTTGTGAGCACATGGTTTTGAGAGTCGTGCTCATGACAATTAAGGACCGGTTCACGAGTTTCGGTTGTGAAACATTAACCGTGCCAACCACAAGCCAGCGTGGGCAACGGCTTTACCTTTTGTATAGCATGGTTCATTGCGGAGCACCAGACTGAGAAGTGGCGGAGATAAGCCTACGGGGGTCGCTGGGGAGTCCATGCCTTGTTTATAAGGGGGTGATTATGATCCAGGAAAGGTGCGCTGTAGTGGATTGTGTTGTGCGAGAGGTAATGTCACAGCTCCTTTCCGAGGTACCGTGGTGGTATTGAGGCACATGGTGACATGATGTGGGGCTGTGTCTTGTGGGTACAGTGGTACATCTCTGATCAGAGTAAAACTATTCGAATAGCCGTGCCCGCGGTTATGGGCGGGTCTAACAATGTCTTTCATGATTAGTCTCATACTTCTCACCATAATAAAAGGTGCTTTTAACTGGTAATAATTTGATTAGCTCCTGGTTTGGAATGGTATATTCCTGGTTTGGAGATAGAACTGTGCAGCCGGGATGGTTGTTCAGAATGGTTGGGCCTATGCAACAGGGTATGTTGTATAGCGTTGGATTAATATTGATTAATTATTACTTAACTGTTTTATTAAATTCTCAAATGTTTGTTAAATGTTGTTTATGCAAATGAAACCCTACTATGCCATCCTTTGGTATCCTTGTGCACTTGCATATTTGCTGCGTGGCTTGCTGAGTATGTCATATACTCACCTTGCAATCAGTCATCAGAGGAAGAGTTCTACAATGATGCTGATGGTGTGGAGGATTAGGTGTAGCCCTGGTCAAGCTGCCTGTGGAGTAGAGTCGTCTGCGCCGTTTATCTTATTTTCCGCTGCTTAGATCTTTATTGATTGAGAGGAACTATCTACCTCTGTAATGACATTATATTCGCTTATTAATTAGAGTAATAATTGTACTCTATTATCAATTTGTTATTGTGTGCCTCGGCTGATTCCTGGACGAGGGTTCACACACATGTAAGCGTTTGGAATTTTGGATAGAAATTCCGGGCGTGACAGTTATCCCAACAAGGAAGGAGGAGTCGTGTAAAACAGACCAAGTATGAAAAGGAAAAAACTTTTCCTACAAAACTCTTACAATCACATTTAAGTAATACTTAACATTCATATTTATGGGCAGTTTGTTTTGATGCATGAAGACAAAGGCTTCTGTTCTTTTGATGTAGAAAGGTGATTAGGGATGGTTGCGTTTTTCTGAAGGTGAATTGTAGTGGCCTAGCCTGGGCCAACCTGAGGTCTCAACTAGGGGTGAAAACGGTACGGAAACGGACGGAAACCACCTTTATCGTTTTCGTTTTCATTTTTTTTTCTTTTTCATATTTTTTTCGGAATTGGAATCGAAATCGGAAACCCCAGAAATGAAAACAAAAACAAATATTATCGAAACCGAAAACGGAGCGAAAACGAACCGGCGCGGATACGGTAACGGATATTTATCGGAATATAAAAAACCCTTAAACTAAAGTTCTCAAATCAACGAAAAATGTAGTTAAATATTTTTTTCTAAAACAATAAATCAATATTTCTATATTTTATCAATTAATAATAATACAACTAGTTGTACACTTTACTTTCTTGGAGAAAAAGAACTATATTCATCTATAAATAAAAAGATAATTAGGAAAATAAAATATAAAGTATTGGACTAAAAAATATCTCTATTTAATTAAACATCTCAATACATAAATCTAAACATTTAGAGTAGAAAAGGCTTAAGCTAATCAGTTGTATATGAGAAATTTTCTATTTCCGATTACGAGAAAAAACCTGAATTTGTTTCCGGAAAATTTCCGAATTCGTTTCCGGAAAGTTTCCGACGGATTCCGAGTTCCGACGGAAACTGCCCTTATCATATTCGATTCTGTTTCCAAGGAAATATTTCCGATTTCGTTTCCGTTTCTGAAAAATTCCAAACAAATTCCGACCGACAGGTTCCGTTTCCGAAAACAGGTCCAGAATCTGGAAAGTTTCCGTACCGTTTTCACCCCTAGTCTCAACCATAGTGGCCCATAGTGGTCGAAGGCAAATTGTACTGGCCCATTATAATGGTTGATATATATAGAATAAGTCCACTTGTTGTCCCTCGTCTTTACGTCGAGTTTAGTGGTATCCCTAAACCACAATACCATAAATCTTAAACCTCTAACTTACGAAACCAGGTTAAATTAGGTAATCTGATAGTATAGATGGCTGGTTACATGGATTTGCAAGTTGACCTAATCAATTTATACTGACTAAGCGTTTATGTGGGAACTAGTTGATCCCACATGTCATCCTCACTCTCCTCCCCTCTTTTATCTCCTTCATCTCCCTCCCTCCCCTCCCCCTTTTTTCTCTCCATCATGGTGGGGATGGAGGCTGAACCAGAAGGAGGAAGACGACAAGGCTCGTGGATTCCATTGCCAGCAATGTCGACAATCGATTGCCAGGTGTTTATGGCATTGAAGCTACATAGGTCGGACTCCATACTGGAGTGGGACTTCTATGCCTCGATGGTAGCAAAGGATTGCACCTTGGTGGCCTGAGCACGCAACAGCGCGCAGGGGTTCTTGTCGTGCATAGAGGAACAAACCCTATCGGCAGCGCAGTCGCAAGCGGCGAAGGGCACGCCACCCCGCATGAGCTCCAACTAGTACTGTTATTGGTGCCACTTCTCCGCATGCTGCCAGCACCATCTCTGCCCACGGATCTCCACCAGGTGCTCTCCCTGCTCCCCCACCTCGTCTCCCCGCGCCACCTCCTCTAGGCCCATGCCTACCTCCTCCCCCGTGGTGGCCACTGTCACATGCGCCTCGTCTCCACGCTCCTCCCTTGCATCCCTTCGCCTCCCGCTCCATGACCACGCGGTCACGCTCGTCTGCCGTGTCCATCCCTCTGTGTCCCTCAAGGCTACGCTGCGGATCCACGGCGTGGGTAGGGGCGGGGCTGGGCTCGGTCGTAGCTACATTCCTAGGAGAGAGAGGGGAGAGGTGGAGAGATGGGGAAAGAGGAGAGAAGGGAGGAGGAAGAAGGTCGAGCTCGTCAGCTCCCTTGCCTCCCTCCTCTTCTCCTCCTCCACCATAGACCACCGAAGCCTCCTCATCGTCGACCTCTCACTGCCACTGCCCCTCTCCCCGCTGGTGAGTCCCTGCGGGATAGAGGGAAGAGAGGCGATAGGTGAGGAGGGGTGGAAGTTCACTTACATATGGATCCACATGTTTTTTTTATTTTCTTTTTATTGACTAGGATATCACGTCAGCAAAACCAACCATGCATACTATCGTGGAATCTGATTGGGACGATTTTACCATAAAACCATGAGTCACTCCGGTCTAACCGCTGGGTTGCCCAGTTAAACCGACCACATACCTTCGGTTTAAGCAGCGTACCTCTTGCCCGATCTGACCGGCCATCTAGTGCCGACCGTATTGTTCACCGTCAGAAAACGCTACTCACCATATTATCAATAAACACTCATCTTTGGTAACTGTTTATCACAAAGATTAATCAACACACGATTCTACAAACAACATCATGTCATCCAGATAAATATAAGTTCTTAAGTATATATAGTGTTGTTAGTAGCTAGCCAGGTTATGCTAACAGCCGGATTAGTCTAATCAATCAATTTAGTAATTAGTACTAGTAGCTACTACTAAGCAATTGTAACATATCATGCTAGCAATGCATGCTGTATATATACTAGCTGCTGCATTCATGCATGGCACTCGCCCTAGATACGACCTGAAGACTGACAGCTAAATTAATTAAACCATATGGATTAGCTGGTAGATCGAGGTCATATATGGCTCATTTTTCTAATGTATTGAAATGATCAAACTCATACACTTGTACAGGCGCAGTGCCCAAGCACTGTCGCCGCTAAACAAAACAACATATATACGTCTAGTAAGAAAAGCCCAACAGCATGCATGCATTCATACCATCAGAGATAATTTATTTAATTTAGTATATACTTCTACATGCTTAATACCCAGACTTTATTTTTTTTCTTTATTCTGCTTTTGTTATTTTTCAAAAATTAAAATTCGCCCTAAGATATTTAATTTGTAGTTGGGTTATATACTATAAATGGGTTATATACTATAAAGATATCCAAAACTATTGCTTAAGGGTTTTTTTTTCTTAAGTCTTGAAGAAGTAACCACACACGAGAAATGCAACTCATGATGTCAAGCAAAGTTGTGAAAAAATAGTGGAGAAAATGGAACTCATGATATATGTTAATTTTTTTCCACTATTTTCTTCATAACCTAAACAAAACCTTATCACCTGAGGATGGTTTTATATCATCTGTTAAGTATGCATACTTTATATATGCTCTAGTAAATACAAAGGCTGCGTTCGGGAGGGGTCCTCCTCCCCGGCACGCAAAACGAAACACGTATTATTGCATAGTTAATTAAGTATTAATATATATTTTTTAAAAAGGGATTAATATGTTTTTTTAAAACAACTTTCATATAGAAATTATTTGCAAAAAACATACCGTTTAGTAGTTTGAAAAACGTGCACGCGGAAAACTGAGTGAAGAACACATCCAAATTGTATCTGTTAAATACAATTTTACACTAACAAAATCTTGTAAACCTTATGTAAGTGGGACAAGGAAGTAGTAAGCCCACTTCATGGTACACATTTATATGCAGATATGCACGTCAGCTATCGCGGTTGTCTTTCTAACGCCCCATCTTAATTATATATAACAGTGAGCTATATTTTCAAACTCTATGACTTTGCATACTATAGTAATGCAATTAAAGTTCATAGTACATCCCTAACACAAACATAAAAAATTAGTGGAAAAAAGTTCAATTTTTTTTGGGAGAGAATTTTGCTCCATATGGCCCTGGTAGCATATGAGGGAGGCTCAAGCAGGGATGGACATGTCTCCAAGCTCTCATCCGTTGACTTCTCCCTATCTTCTCTCTTTCTTAATTTCTCCTAAATTTTCTTTGATCCATCTCCATATATACTTACATGTATGCAAATCTTAACCTCAATTATGCAATTGATGTCCTTTGAATCTCTAGCTAGCTATATAGTTGCAAATTAAACCCTAGAATTAAGCTGGATTAGCTAGCTAATTAATTAGCCGAATGAATCCACAGGAGTTCCAATTCTTCCAGGGGGTGGAGCAAGAGATGCTCTTGCTATCCCATGGCGGTGGCGGCGCGGCGGCGGCTGCCTCGGACGACGTGCTCGCCTACCATGTCGGGGTGCTAAGGGACAAGGTGCAGCAGCTGGAGCCGCTGGTCGGCATGGTCGTCGTCTCCCCCGCCGCGCCGCACGGCCAGCTCCGGCGCGACGCGGCGGCGATGGCGGCGTCGAGCGCCTGCTCCGTCCTGCAGGAGATAACTGCCGCCGCCTCCGCCGTGGCGCACCGGCTGGAGCAGGCCAACGCCGCCTCCTCCGCCTCCTTCAGGCGAGGAGTGGCTTTCGCCGACGACGCACACGCCGCCGGTGGCGTGCAGATGTTCGCGGCGGGCGCGCACGGCGGCGGCCAAGGCGGTGATGACGAAGCCGGCGCCTCGCTGTTCCACCACCACGGGCCGCCGGCCGTCGGCGCGCCCACCGTGTTCCGCGCCGGCGCCACGACGACGGCGGCCGCGTCGAGCAGCGGCGGCGGAGACGACGACGGCGACGGCGACGGCGAGGTGGACGTGGTGGAGCTGGAGGCGTCGTACCTGCTGGCGAGGTACACGCACTACTGCCAGGTGTGCGGGAAGGGGTTCAAGCGCGACGCCAACCTGCGGATGCACATGCGCGCGCACGGCGACGAGTACAAGACGGCGGCGGCGCTGACGAGCACCGGCGCCGGCATGAGGGCGGCGGCGAGGCGGTGCAGCTACTCGTGCCCCGCGGAGGGGTGCCGGTGGAACAGGCGGCACCCGCGGTTCCAGGCGCTGAAGTCGGTGGTGTGCGCGAAGAACCATTACCGGCGGAGCCACTGCCCGAAGATGTACGTGTGCGGGCGGTGCGGCGGCAAGCAGTTCGCCGTGCTCTCCGACCTCCGCACCCACGAGAAGCACTGCGGCGAGCTCCGATGGCTCTGCTCCTGCGGCACCTTCTTCTCCCGCAAGGACAAGCTCATGGGCCACGTCGCCCTCTTCGCCGCCGGCCACGCCCCCGTGCCCGTCGCGCCGGAGGCGTCGCCGTCGACGACGACCACCGGCACCACGACGGACAGATCACGTACGGGATTGATTGATTAATCAACAATATATTGCCTGTGAAATCAATTCAGTTCGTTCGAATCAATAGTGTGTGTACAACTGTACATACTACATATAGGTAGGTTCCCATTTCATGCTCGAATTTGAATTCTTAATCAATTTGATTGGAGCTGAGTAAATTTCATAAAACCTCACTTATTACAATCCAACTTATACAAAAACATAGGGATTTTGACACGTGGCAGATAACTCCAAGTATTATGATCCTAAAGTTTTATAAAACCACACACCGCTAACCAATTTGATATACCATGATGTCAAAATTTGAAAATGCTATATTTATATGATGTAGCATTTAATTATATGATGGATCTATAACTTATAAATTTGAGATGCAATTGTAGAACTTAAAAGTGTGGTAGATTAAAGTCAAAATGATTAATAGTGTGGTTTTGTGAAACTTTATAGCCATAAATACCTGGGTTTTGTGCCATGTTTTAAAATCTCTATTGTTTTGTGCAATTTAGATCGTAATACATGTGGTTAGGTGAAATTTAATCATTTGATTATGTGCCAATGTCTCGGTATCTAAAAGTAAAATTAGCTTGGTACTTATAACTAATGCTACATTTGCAAGTTATCCTATATACTTAAGTTCATCCCCACATACATATATGTGCCTTGATTTGTATGGTGCATCGATCATAGCATGGATAGTGTACAACTAAAAGCCCACAAAAACTCTTTGAAATATTGAAATATCTATACTCCTTTTAAAATAAAGTAGTAAATGGTGGATTGAGTGTGGTTTAGGGTTTATTAACCCTTATGGTTTTGCCACCATTCTCATCACCAACTTCCTACTTTATTTTTTAACAGAAAAAAAAACAGATAAGACTAACTAGAGGGCACACATGTTAATAAAGCCCCTCCCAACTTTCATTTTCCGTGAGAAGAAAAAAAAACGGTGTAGGGTTAAAGGATTTACATATAAGTAATTAATATATGTAGTAATTAAAAGATGATATATAAAAGGAGTAATGATTATAACGGGTTAATATATAATTTTCAATTAAAATCCTATTACAATGCATATGCTAGGCATCTAAAATGGAAGTGCTGGTGCACTTCTTTGTCCATTTTCATGCTGTACGTGCCTTTTCTGCTGCTGCCACTGTCGCATGCACCTTCTTTGTCGTCCATATCGAAATGCAGGATTTAAGATGATGTACAAGAATTCGACAACATTTGGTAGGATTTAAATTTGAATCTACAAAAGTTCCTAAAAAAGAGAAAAAAGGGTGACATATGCACGTGAATTTTTTGTGCCTATCCAAATGAGAGAGATTGAGAGAAAAAAAAAGGAAAGAATAATGGGCTAAGAGTCCATTACTATTTATTAGGCCTAGAAAGCCCATTTAGGAGGAAAAAAAGAGTCTTTTTTCTACTTTGTTATAATGAATGAATGTTACTATTATGGCAAAGTTAATGTAAAAATTTTCTACAGTATTCCTGCATTTTTTAGTTTTTCTAAAATTTCCTACATTATTTTACAATTTTCATGTATTTTATAGATTACCATCAATTTTCATGTTTTTTGTTAGTTTCACGTGTAACCGGGAATTATGACTGTAAATCCTTGATTTATTACCAGTATCGTAGATAATTAATTTGTTCCCGATTCGATGATACCATCTGAATGATTATCGTTATAAATCGCTGGGATATATATTGATACTATGGGTGTGGGTACTGTTCTGGCATATCACGCCTTTCACTTGGAATTCAAATTTCAAACTGGAAATTTTGAATTTTATCGATAACCGCTCGATTATCGTAATAACCATGAATGCGACGGGTAGCGGTTCCTGACCCATACATAAACCATATTGCAAACCCTGACATGAAGAGGTTGAGCAGTCTAGAACTGGAATAATGTCTAAGAGCAGGTACAATGGCAGGCTATTAGCCAGCTATAAATATATTTTAATGAGATAAGCGATGAGAGAGAAGAGCAGCGGGCTACAGATCTGTAGCCAGCTGCAGCACGAACTCTAAAACGCAATATGTGTATGACAGGTGGGACCATATATTAATAGTATAGTAAGCGACTATTGTATGAATTGGCTATTAGATTAGCTATAAATAAATTGGAGCCGGTAGTAGGCTATACTATTAAACTTGCTCTAATAGTTCTAATTCATTAGTAGTTTAATTGGGACTTTAGTATCGTGGACCAAGCACATTTAAGGTCGTCTTAGAGTTACTTATACATGCATGACTATATATCTAAAAAAAATTATATATATGTTTGACTAGATAACCACTAAGTTACTTATACATGCATGACTATATATCTAAAAAAAATTATATATATGTTTGACTAGATAACCACTATGGGTGTGTTTGCAACCCTTTTTCCCAACCCATATCTTTCATTTTCTGCGCGCATGCTATACGAAAGTTGCTTTAAAAAATCAAATTAATTCATTTTTGAAAAAAAATAGCAAATACTTAATTAATCACGTGCTAATGGACCGCTTCGTTTTCCGTGTTTACTGTGCACGTGGGGAAACTGGAGTGGCGAACACACCCAGCAAATAGTAGTAGTTAAATAGTTGACACAGGGGTCAAAAGTTACCTCCATTGTCGAGAAAAACCATTGTGGGTCAATTCTAATTCAAGATCTTTGTAGCAATCAAGTTTGACCATTAATGCTAGTGTTTGGTTCATACATAAGTGAGTTATGTCACAATTTTTTAGCAAGTTGATCCACTAGCTTGAGCGTTTTTTTGCCATAACTTACCATAATTGTGACCAACAAATTCTTAGCCATACAATATGTGGCATGCCACACTTTGCCAAATATTCTATGGTAAACCATAAAAGTCATCCAAACAACCCTTTGTGATGGATCAAATTAACTCTTGTGATGGGTTAATTTGATTTATGACACTGTAAATTTGGTTATTCAGAAAAATACCATTATAATTCGTCTATATGTTCCCGTGTCACTGAAATTTCACAAAATTAGAAACGTGCCACTACCGTCATGTTTTCCATCCATCTCCTTCTCCATCTTCTTCCTTCTTTCTCCTCTCATGTCGTGGGGGCGGTGGGGCTGTGGCACGCGCTGAGGATGTGGGCGCGGCTGTGGAGCAGCGGTGGCGGGCTTCGCTGGCTCGACGACCTCGTGCGGCGCTGCGGCCGACGAGAAGGCGGAGCGGGCGGGCACGAGGCGCGGCGGCTCCCTCTCATCCTCCACTGCCTTCCTCCCGAGTAGATCTGGCCGCCGCTCCACCCCACACGCGTAGATTCGGCGGCGGCGCAACGGATCTGGCATGGATGACGGTGGGAGGCGCGGTGGTTGGTGGCAGCCGTCTCGGCGCCGCCGCTGACGAGGAGGCGAAGCGGGCGGGCACGAAGCACGGCGGCTCCCCCTCATCCTCCACCGCCTTCCTCCCGAGCAGATCTGGCCGCCGCTCCGCCCCACACGCGTGGATCCGGCGGCGGCGCGGCGGATTTGGCACAGGCGACGGTGGGAGGCGCGGTGGCTATCGGCGATCGTCTCGGCGCTGCTGCCAACGAGGAGGTGGGCGGGAGCTCCTTTCGCCCCGCTCTCTAGCCGACGAGGTCACCACCGCCTGTCTCTACTTCCTCCGTGTTGTCCCCGCCCAAGTCGGCGACCAGATTTGAGCTGCCCTAGATGCCAACGACGGCGACCAGATCGACCCGAGCTCCTTTCGCCTTGCTCTCTTGCCGACGAGGTCACCGCCGCCTGTCTCCACCTCCTTCTCTGCGCCGTCCCTGCACAGGTCGAGCTCGACGCTGCCCGCCTCCGCGCGGCCAAGCTGGAGGAGCAACTTGGCCGTGGTCAGAGGTTGGTGGCCATGGCGACCACTTTGGCCTTTGCCACGCCGAGCAAAGAGAGCCGAGTGAGTGGAGACAGGAGAAAGAAGGAAGAAGACGGAAAAAAATGGAGATGGATGGGAAACGTGATGACATGGCACAGTTCTAAAATGTTACGAATAGACGAATTGTATTGTCATTTTTCTGAATAGTTAAATTTATAGTGACATGGATCAAATTAACTCTTGTGATGTTGGATGTTGCATATGCACCTTTTTTTTGGATTTTGCATATTCACTTGCTAGTGCTTACAATCACCAGAGAATAGCAGAGTCATTTGTACCTAAAAAATTCGAACAAAACTTTTACAAACAAAGATATTAACTGTTTAATTTAATTAGTTACTCCCTCCGTCCCACAATATAAGGGATTTTGAGTTTTTACTTACAACGTTTGACCACTCGTCTTATTCAATTTTTTTTACAAATATAAAAAACAAAAAGTTGTGCTTAAAGCACTGTGGATAATAAAGTAAGTCACAAATAACATAAATAATAATTTCAAAATTTTTTGAATAAGACGAGTGGTCAAAACGTTGCAAGTAAAAACTCAAAATCTCTTATATTATGAAAAAATATAAGACGGATGGAGTAGTAGTTAAAAACATCTTAGTACTCCATCCATTGTAAAATAAATTAACTATTATACATGACTCTGGACAAATACATACATAAAAGTTGATTTATTTTAGCATCGGAGATCAGCACAGGAGCACACAGTTACATCCAAATGTCATTGACTATGAATAAAAGGGTTTCTGGTACCAATTAATCTTTGCTTCTTGAGTTCTTCCACTGACATGACACCAAGAGACCACTTTCTTTAATTTCCCGTGTGCCCTTGTCATTATTCTTCACCCTTTATCAGTTCACCTGTCATTTGACTCCCTATAGACTTCTTCAGATATGTGACACAAACCATCAAAAGTTTCTTCACTTCTCAAGGGTACCAAACCTGCACCGAACCCTCCAAAAAAAAAAAAGGCAGATCGATCCATCTATCTACCTGTCGATCGGTGCTAGTATTAATTGTTGATGAACATTTGAACAGACGACTGGTTGTTGCCAGTAGGAAAATCTTAGCATACGGACTGTACGTGAATCCAATTACAGCTCTCTCGATCCCCTTTTTCTTTTGCATTTCTTGCTGCAGTACTGTTGCATCAATATTATTAATTATCATATTAGTAGTAGTAGTAGTAGCTAGGCCATGCCAAGCGTGAGCGGCCAAATTAATTAATTCAACAAGAAACTAAAGCAACTTTTAAAATTGTTTTCAATTGATTAATTTGCTCTCTCTATTTTTTTTCTGGTCCAAGAAGCATTGTCTATCCATCCATGCATTTGTCATCTGCCAACTCACCTACCTGATGGTTGGGTCTCATATGCAATGTTTCTTTGATTTTTGTTGCTATGTAGGAGTAGTATATATAGAGAGAGGGACCTGAGATGTTGCTTGTGAGTTTCAGAGGCTAAAAGCTAGCTAGGTGTAGATAGCTTCTTGTGATATATTGCCTCTGCTTGCCATGGCGGTAGCTCACCTTCTTATCCAACTCATCTCCATGGCTGGCAATGGTGTTGGAGCCTGCAGGGTGCAGATTATTCCGGCCATTATCTTTCTTCAGCTCCTCTTTAGAGGTCAGTATATGCATTGATTATTATTATTATTATTATTATTTAAAAAAACTCTACATAAGACAGTACGAAGTATCATATTGATATAGTAGGAGTATACACATGGATCATCGAGCGCTTCCTTTGATTTTTAGTTTTTTCATCTGTGTGGAGTATACAATTATTCTTGGTAGAGTTTGGTATTGATCAGTTTCGCTTTTATTTCACCATATATGGGGACCATATTTTGAGATTTTCTTTGGAATGTGGAGTACATTTTTTAGATTATTATACTTCATTTTTATCACAGGCAGCGATGACAAAAAAAAGGCCAATCAATTCGGATGTGACATGTTTTGTATAAGTTCTGTCGAAATTTAGTGCGTTGTCTACAAGTAGCACCCGAATTTACCATGTTTCCAGCAAGCTGGTTCGAATTTGTTTTCTTCCGACAAATTTCAATAAGGCTGTGTTTAGTTCACACCAAAATTGAAAGTTTGGTTGAAATTGGAACGATGTGACGAAAAAGTTGGAAATTTGTGTGTAGGAAAGTTTTGATGTGATGGAAAAGTTGAAAGTTTAAAGAAAAACTTTGAAGCTAAACACGGCCTAAAGTTCAAAAGTACATATGCTCAAATTTGTCCAGATGAGTTTTCAAAAAAATGAAAAATAATGTTTGATCTTCGTAATGCACTTATGCCCACTAGTTTGCCAGCTCGTGTGGACGATGAAATTACTGACAAAATTCATGCAAATGTTTGATAAATGTGATTGATTTGCAGCTCTTGGCGCGGATGGCGCGTCGTCGTTCAGCTTCACCAACAGCTGCCAGTATCCGGTGTGGGTGGGCGTGCTCCACGGCGCCAGCTCGCCGGCGCTGGCGCGCTCCGGCTTCTACCTCGCGCCGTCGGGCACGTACCACCTCGCCGCGCCGTCGTCGGGGACATGGTCCGGCACGTTCTGGGCGCGCACCGGCTGCGCCGTCGACTCCTCCACCGGCCGCTTCACCTGCGCCACCGCGGACTGCGGCTCCGGCGACGTCGCCTGCAACGGCCGCGGCCCGTCGCCGCCGGTCACGCTCGCCGAGATCACCCTCGCCGCGCCGGGCTCCGGCGGCCAGGACTTCTACGACGTCAGCCTCGTCGACGGGTTCAACGTGCCGGTGCGCCTCGCGCCGTCGTCGTCGGGCGGCGGCGGCGGCGACTGCCACGCCGTGTCGTGCGCGGGCGACGTTAACGCCGCGTGCCCCTCCGACCTCCGCGTCGTGTCCGGCGCCGGCGCCGTCGTGGCGTGCCGGAGCGCGTGCGACGCGTACCGGAGCGCGCGCTACTGCTGCACCGGCGCCTACGGCTCGCCGGCGGCGTGCGGGCCCACCGACTACTCGCAGGTGTTCAAGGCCGCGTGCCCGGCGGCGTACAGCTACGCCTACGATGACGCCAGCAGCACGTTCACCTGCTTCGGAGCATCCAGCTATGACGTCACCTTCTGCCCTCGATCTTAATTACAATGTGATTGTTGCTAATTATAAGTTATATGAAACTATATCATCAATTCATCATTATTATGATGGTTGGTCTGCTCTGCACAATAACGAAGGGATCGGAGAGAGAATTATTTATTTATTCTTAGGCTCACTTTATACTTCATACACAAGAGTCATCAGAAACCCCCATATTTCATTTGAAATTTTCCTTCAAATTTTCTGCATTTTAAACAGTGTATGCCCTGGATTTTATAACATAAAGGACAGCTCACTATCATGCATTTCATTTACAAATAAATTACCAAAAAGAGCTACACTGATTCCATGAGATTCATTCTTTCTTTTACCCATTGTTGTTTGGTTCCGATGCAACAGTAATATATTACTCGCTTTGCTTCATATTATAAGCCGTTTTAACTTTTTCTTTAGGTTTGACTAAGTTTATAAAAAAAATTATCAATATCTATAACATAAAATTAGTTTCGTTAAATGTAACATTGAATATATTATGATAATAGGTTTGTTTTGTGTTGATAATATTGCTATATATTTTCTAAAAATTTTATCCAATTTTAAAAAAATTGACTGAGAAAAAAGTTAAATACTTATTATATGAAACAAAGGGAGCATTTTTATTTACTTAGCATGCCATATTTCCATGTAACTATAAGTATGTCTTTTTTGTTTGTTTGTGATAATCACAACAGTACAATACAATACCCTTACGGAGATGACAAAGCATGTCGAAACTTGGGCACTTTATTCGATACTACAAGTATGTATTTTTTTTCTCTAAAACTATACTATTAGTATACTAGCCCAGTCTCTTCATATTCTTCCATTTATTTCTTCAGGAATATTCAACTTGAGGACTTTTATTCTCTTATCTTCATTCATATTTTTCGACATAATATGAACGTTTTCCCAAAGGCATCAACATCTAGGTTGAACGAACACTGCAGTTGTTCTTCTTGGCACGGTGAATCGACCTTTGGACGCCTCGTATGCTGACTGCCTGACTAGAGCATCCGATGAATTCACCTGAACCATTTCAAAATAGCCAGTTAAACATCGAATCGCCTCTCAACCAAATCAGTGGTATTCTTAAAAATTTACTGACTGAGGAGAAATTTATGACAAATTTGTAGATATAATTCAGTTATGAAAGATATTGACAAATAATAATTAAATATCTAGTACCCAACTTGATTTGTACAATTCACTTGCCAAACATTAAAAGCACTTGGGACACCAAATACAATGATGAGAGACAACACTTCAACAACTGGAAAGTACTAAGGAGGTATCATCTTGATGAAACTAAAAACTGAGCATTACCTGAATAGGATGCAATTCAAGCCCCAACGAAGCGAGATCATGGATTTCAATAGACACTTCGTGTGGACAGACATTGAAGATCGTCACGACATAAGAGAAGCTGCAGAAAGAGATAGGTAGTTTAGCTACTTTGGAGAAAATAAAAAGTTTCCCATACCAGGCATTGCAGTCTAGAAACAGCTGCATAATTTTATTTTTCAGCTCATGCAAAATTATGCTTCCCAAGATTACGTTCTATTTATTCCAAAACATAATTACATAAGTGCTACTTACTTTTTATCTAACTGAGCCATTTTACATTTTTCATTTTGAGCATCTTTAATGCTCATGACAATAACTCCTGGTACCATCGAGGGACCTGTGTTGTGAAAGCGAACCCTTTGCTGAAATAGGATAGGACACAGTCAGATGTGAATAAAACAGAAGAGGTAAAGAATCATTATTAAACAAAAAACATGAGTTTTTTGGTGCAAGTTGCTTGCTGATAGTTTATTTGTTTTTGTTAAGGCACACAAATGTTCCAGTATGATTGTTTGCCGCTAATTTTCAGGTAGTCATTGCTCACCAACTACAGAGGTGTAAATATACATCTCTATATTTTGCAGATTACATAGCTCCCTGTCTACCATAATGCATGACTCTCATTCACGATAACTTCATTCTGCGAGAAACGTCTACCATCTATAAGGAGGCAACAAGTAAATAAACAAACATAGTTGCATATTTGCGCCTGCACATATTGCGCCACAGTAGCATGAAAGTAAAGTTGCAGGTATAACTTGTTGGCATGAAAAACACATGTACCTCAATGTCACTTGCTGTACTTAAACGAAAGAGCGGTGAGGAGTATCTGATCTTCAAGATGTCAACAAAATTGTCGAAGACAGAAAGAATGTGATTTTTCAAAGGTCTGAAAGATGGGTTTTCCAATCTTGGTTTTATCCTGCAAAGGAGTTCCATTTGAATAACAAATACAGGTTCAGAACATGAAAGGAGAAAGAGACGATATATTTTAGTATATCAAGATAGCACAATAAAATGTACTCCATCCATCCCAAAATATAACAACTTTTAACCATCACGATTTGTCCCAAAATATAACAACTTCTCCACCATCATTCTCTTCCCAACCAATCACAACCCTCCACTATTCATTTTTCCCACCTACCTCCACTACTCATCCAATCACAACCCTCCACCACTCACTTCCACCTACTTTCTTAATAGCCATGTCCAACCCTAAAACTTCTTATATTCTGAGATGGAAGGAGTAGCAAAAAAAAAGGGGAATGATAACAGGAATAAGAGTTCCTTGCATGATGATACACTAAATAACTCAAGCAGAATTTAGAAACTTACAAATGCCAATTTTCTTCATTCTTATCTCTTGGAGGAAGTCCTACACCCCAATTGTTTGTTTCATATGTAAAATCAAGCCTTAGAAAAGGATGAAACGGTATATAGTCAGATGTTAATACCAATTAACTGTTCAAAGCAAATCGAATTATTTTCCATATATAGAGGAAATTCAAACGTTGCAATTAATTGCAACAACTGATGTTTTCATCAAGGTCAAGAGGGCAGTTTATTACTTGTTAAACCAATCACCAGAGTTATATGAATCTCGATCAAGTGACTTAGATCTCAGTATCTCATCACCAGCATGGAAGAAAGGTATTCCCTGAAAGAGCATATAGGAGTATGAAAATTCAAAATAATGTAAACTGCTATTAACATCCTTTTTCTTTTAACTATAATTTAGATTGAACACTGTAACACATACGATCTATTCTCTACAATTTTCTACTACAACTCATAAGGCCTCTGTTGCCTGAACAACTGAGTCCACATGGATGGCAAAACCAAATTTGGTGGACCCGCAACAGCAGATCGCAGAAAGTAGCGATCACAGCAGGTAATGAACATTGTGTGCTCATCTTACGAACAAACTATTGTACAAGTACTGCTTTTTACTCAGATTATAATCAAATTTGAAGTGTTGGTATGAAAAATGTATTGTCCTAGCAAACGGTATTCAAAATTTTGCTGGTAATAGAAAAATGATATTAATATTGCCAAACATGGCCATTTAATGAGCCCATACCATGAGAAAGGTTTGTACATTGACAAGAAGATTAGTCAGGTGATATTACTGTTTTTAATTTTATTTTTAGCAACCCATGCTTTTGAAACTGATTCTCTCACTATCCACTCCTATAAAGTGATAGTACTGTATGCACTTGTACAGACCTGGGATAATGCGATCATGCTAGAAGCCAAATGATTTATCCTGCATTTCTCATCAATCGATAGGCCAATTGGGGTCTGCACCAACAATCAAAGAAAACATAGAGAAAACAAGATTGTTAATCCTTTCTAAAGATTATTAGTTATTTTCCAAGGAGTGGGTAGTGATAAATATACTTGAACATACTTAAATTGTTATTGCAAATTATATCATTCAATGAATGCAGTTTTATTATAAGATCCAGTAACTAATTTTGCCAACTGTAAGCAGCACAAAAGGTAAATCACACTAATATCTCTTATCAACTACATCACTTCTAAAGGATGAAAAAGAAGGAAAGATTACTATAACGTAATACTTGATGAAAAACATCGTACTAGCTATTGATGTAACAGTACATGTGACATACCTTTATACTGACAATATCAAACAGAGTCTCATTATCATGAGCAGAAACATAGTTTATCTGAAAAACACACAAGAGTGTATTATAGAAGATGGTTGACAGTAGACTTTGAAGAAGTGATACAAAAAAGAAAAAATCCTTATGCACAGAAAAAATGCAATTATGAAAACCTATTATGCTGCACTTGTGAGAATAAATACTTGTAATAAGTACCGACCATTCTGTTTTTTAAGAAAAAAACATACAGTTTCTACAGGGGATGAAGTATAGCCAACTGGTGATCCATCAAAAGTGTAAATGTCTGATCCCTTCTTAGCTTCTCCAGTATGAGTTCTTAGTACATAATCCTTCAGGTTACCAGCTAGTCCGATCTGGGAAAAGACAAAAAGATTGGTTTTATGAGGTTGTGCTCATTTATCCAATATAACTCTTCCTTAGAAAACACGGTAAGAAAGCACAACTAGATCCCAGCACACAGGAAGCAAATAACAATATAACATAATTGAAGCAATGCTACAACAGATATGTTTTGATTTAAATGGTATCTTCCAGGTTGTGATGTTTCCGAATCTTTCTAAAATAAGTACATGTGCGATTACTTCAAGAATGGATTATAAAAAAAAAATCAAGATACTTAACATTGAATTAGTTGAAGTAAAAAGCAGAACACAGATTTGACATGATAAATGATGAGTTCAAATGAAAGTCGTAACAATGGATTTGTCCATTCCAAATAGCAGCAAATTAGCAACTACTCATTATTATGTGTAAAATAAAGTTATTCGGCATAGCACATTAGCACTGTAGATAGTACTTACCCTTAAACATAAATTTGGGATAGGCAGATTATAATCTCATACTAGTTACAACAGACCTAGTTGAATGCATTTGTCTGAAGGAGTACCTACTTGAGGCCATTTCAGCGTTGTTTTTGTTCTATCCATAGTGTTTTAAAACTTAAACATAAAAAACCCATGAGAAATTACATTAGTGGTCAAGATTTGTTTTCTTCTATGAATTTCTATCCAAGTGATTGCCAAGTCATTTCTCAGATTCCTATTTTTGATTGTTTGCTAGAGTTAAATGAGGAAAATCCAAAACTTATTTCTATGATAAAAGAATTTTTTTGTGCCGACCAGAATAATATGCATCATTTGATAGATATTAAAGAGTGGTATCCGGTGTTGAAAATAGAGAACTCAAGCAACAGATGATCCAAGATTCCAAGTTCCCCCACATGCCTTCATTAACTCTGATAATTCGTTTATATCTTCTTTAACCAAAACATGAAATGATCAGCAGAATATATTTCCATCAAATTTATAGGTCCAAAACAAATTTAAATTCAACCAGTGGTCAACCTGTATGTGATCAGCATATGTAGCAAGTTCACGCCTGGTATCTGCTTCATTACCCTGATAATATCCATTAGGCTGCACAAAATGACAAGTAGAAGATATTCAACACTACTGGATTCTTGGAGCTAGTCTAGAAAGATCGTAGGTATAATGTATTACAGTGTATCACGTCCAAGGATACAAGAAACAAAATGTATAGGGGCTAGGCTGGAAACCAATAGTTACTGATTCGTTCTGTCTATTCCACCTTCCTATTTTTTTAATCCATTATACATATCTTTCCGTCAAAGTAGATGTGTTTGTTAGGTATTTTATAATCATTAACATCAGGAGGCATGGTATCTACTAGTCTAAGCCGAGAACCGGTGACTGGCTGGTTTCAATCATTTTATATTTAAATTTTTGGAAACACACAAAAGCTTTGCATGTCAAATATATCTCACTAGAAGAAAGCAACGGGTACACCATGCAAACTACACAGTGGTAGCTGCAAAAAGTGAATGGCTCGAGGTACAACTAGATTACTTGATTACACAATTCAATATCCAACAAGAAAAGCAGAAAAGGTAAATATTTCAGCCATTTTTTCTTATCACTAGTTGCTGCTTCACTCTACTAACTGGTAAGGATACATAAATTATTACTACTTCTGAGGAGAGTGATGGATCATTATGTGACAGATTTAACAGGGATGGCTTATAACTGGAAAGGATTGTTCTAATACATGGTTCTTTTTAGATCAAAGGCCAGGAGGCCCTGCTTTTTTAGAAAGCATAGGTCGATACAGAATTATTCATTGAAGGGGATTCCATCAAGCCATTCACTGTTCTATTACATCAACGATCACCAAACATCACTAGATAACAGGATAACTAGACTACCAAAAGACACCTTCATATCCACATCTAGGCAATTATGTGGCAGGACCAGGAAGTGAACAGTTTAAAGGGACACCCACAAAAGCAAAACTAGGGACTAACTATTAACAACTAGGTAGAACTTAACAAACACCAAGTTTTATCTCCAGTCAAACACTTGATTGAATAAAAGGGAAGCTCAATGTGAATTTCAGAAACTAGCCTCAATCAGATAGGGTTGCACAACTTGTGGGATTAAGATTGGGTAAAAACTTAAGGAATACTGATAAGGGAAAAAATACCAAGTGAATCTCAATATGAGGATTTTAACCTGAAATACTGTACTATGAAAAAAAAGACCACTAATGCAGGGGTCTTAGGAAAGATAGACACAAGTAGCTTGCTACTGTAATATCACGTACTGATTGTCATCTCCAGGACAGTTAGTAATATGAAGGGCATCAAAATTACCTCCAAGAACAGACCGGTAGAAAAGCCTTGCTGTAGAGGATTACCAAATGGATTACCCCCATTAACAGAATCGCGGATCCTATCGTTGAAACTGCAATGTATGGTGGTATAGGATAATGGATACTACAATCTTGAATAGAAAGATGGAAAATAGATGCAGAAAAAGAAACTGGATAAATTTCTAACACTGTCTATAGACACTACTACATCAAGTGAAAAAAGACAAGAACCAAGTTTGACAACTAAAATATAATGTTAACAGGAAAACGTTTGGCAGATGTAATAGTGTCAGAGCATCCATTTTGCAAACCTGTACCATTCCCATACTTGAAAACCGACATTCTAAGCAATAACTTGGTCAAAATTAATAAGGGTAGGTCGACTGCATGCATTTTAGGACAATAATTTTTTTTATCAAGGACTATTTTTCTATGGCTGGAAAGAGTATAGAATAAAAATGTACACAGATGGTAATTTAAATATCTACAAGGAAACTTTTGCAGGTTCCTCTGTATGGCATAATTGGCCTCTTCACAGCACACGATGAGTTGGTATCAATTCAGGATTAACTTACCTACCAATTCCTGTGCCACTCATATTAATCTGGGATGCATTTATTCCACGCTTATTTTGTGCAACCTCACCAAAGTCCCATCCTTCACCATACCTGGAAATTAAATGCCCTTATCATTATCAGTACAATGCACTAAATTAATACTGAGACCATGAAAACTGATTGTTCTGAAACTGAACAATCCAAGTCCTTACAAGTATATCTTTGAACCATCCACTCCATGTACATCCCTCGTAAGGCTTCGAATAGCAGATTTTGCTCTTATCTGTATTTATCAACCAAGAAGGTTCTAAAGCACACAGTAGCGATGCAGTTAAATTAGAAAACAGAGTCAGTTGCCTACAACCATTTGGCCGCATGTCCCAGGATCTCAGAAAAGAATATACTCCGTTTCATATTATAAGTCGTTTTGGCCTTTTTGCTAGTCAAACTTTGTTAAGTTTGACCAAATTTATAGAAAAATTTAGCAACATCTAAAACACCAAATTAGTTTCATTAAATCTAACATTGAATATATCTTCATAATATGTTTGTTTTGTGTTGAAAATACTACTATGCTGTTTTATAAACTTTGTCAAACTTAAAAGAAGTCAAAACAACTGATAATATGAAACGGAGGGAGTAACACACTGTTGGCAATAAGGAGTGCAAGGGAAACAGGCCAAGAGTCTGGTAGTGAGGATGGTGTATAAACTCCCCACCTTTGTTGATACTGAATTTTACAGATTCTCCAGACTGAGTTTTACAGGTACTCTAAATTGACTAACAAGTTAAATATACACAACCTGATGCGACTAAGTTTAGATATATCGACCATCTAGCCCTAACAATACAAGGTTAGAAGGTTGGTAATTATATCCAGAGTTTGTGCTTTTATTTTAACTAGAAAAAATGCCCGTGCGTTGCAACGGGTGAAGACTATTTTAATCTTATTATTGTTATATGGTTTAGTTAAGGTAAAATTTCACTGTGTTAAATTCGCTTGGATATATATTTTGTTAGAAAATCGTGAGCTACAATTAGGAATCCGATAGTCTCAAGTTAGCATGCGAGTTTTTTAAAGAGATTTCTTATACGATTCCTTCTGTATTTTCAAAAGCGAACCGAGTCAAATACGGATTTGTATTTTCAAAAGCGAACAAACTCAAAAACCGACTCATACACGGATGACGTACCAAAGTATCAGCAAAAACATCTTTAATTTTTATAATAGTAGAGATTGTGCAGATAGACATCACGGTGAACTTAACATTCAAAAGAGATTTATAATTTAAAAACGACAGTCCCTCTGGTTCCAAATGTAGGTTGTTTCAGGGGCAATTGAACCCCATTTTTCCCAGACACCCTTGATAATTGAATGCGACGATTCTCATGAATAAATGAAGTATCACTACTGATCTGCAATAATTGCAGGGCAACAAGATAATTGTAACACTTCTTAGTTCCTGTGCACAGCTCTAAAACGACCAACATTTGGAACCAGAGGGAGAATTGACGAGGCTCAATCAGATCATTCTTCCCATTGATGTTCCAAGTTTGCAAATAAGATAGGAATTATGCAGGTTAAACAATAATAGGTCAAACCGATGATTGATGGGCGTTCAGTGCTTTTACTACATCAAGAGAATAAAACAAAAAGAATCTTTCTGTTCAGACAACTACTTAATATGCATCTTCGAATTGAACTTACTTACCATGGTACTTTTCATGATATGCCCCATAAGATCAAATCTGAACCCATCAACCTACGACAAGAATATATAATTGTTAAGATGCAGAATAATAAAGTGCAGCACTTGGAAGACATGTAAAACATAAACATGAGATTGTTTTGACACTTCAGAAAAAAAAATCAAAAAGGCTCTCTTGCATGTTCCAGAAAAAAAAAGGAAAAAGGAGAAGCAAGGTACTCTCTCTCTAAAAGGAGGCGAGACATTGCCAGAAATTACAGATATTCTTGAATGTATAAAATAAAAAATATATGATGTGCCAATAGTACAATATTATTATCACAACTTACTTTGTAATTTATTGCCCAATTTAAAAGGTCATCCACGATTAACCTATCAACCATGAAATGCTCACTTGCTGTATTGTTCATAGCCGCACTATTTTCGATCTGACCATTAACGTTCCGCCTAAGGTAATATCCAGGAACAATCTGTAAATATCCCATACAAAAACAAGATATTAGAAGACACATTAGGGGGCAAAAACGGAAAAAAAGACTTAGAATGCTATTGACCATTTTTTAGAACAATCTATGATACACATATCGTTGAGTTAACGAACACATACATGTAAGCATTTTAAGACCCTTATCATTTCTTGGCTTAAAATAAAAGTTCACAAATTACATTCACTTGGTATACAAGAAGCATTTTGGTGGCTTATAGCTACGCCACAAAAATTCACATATTTATGAAAATCATGTACAATCAAGTTAAATTAATTTCTAAAAATCATGAACCCTGTTATGCTGTACTCACCTTTATTCTGGCTCTAATCTACTAAATGGATACTGGACAGGCAGTAATGGCTTCTGCACAATGGCTGTTTTGTTCCTCTCTAAAGATGTGGTGTTGTAGGGACGTGCTAGTGTGCTGCTAAGTGCTAAATGCCAGAAACTTCTTGTGCATACGTATGTATTCTTGATTGGACCAAATTTAATTAAACTGTAGTTCAAGTGTTTTACTACTGCAACAACAAAGACATTACATCAAATATACTAAAAAAGAATGATCTGTAGATCAGAACAATTATAAACAAAAATGTAAGTATTAGAAAGTGATAACCTTGTCAAGCACTGAGGAGACACCAAAGGGGCCACTTGAGTCTAAATGATTGTATACAACATCCATGACAACACGAAGACCTATGCGATTCAGGGCCTGCAGTACAAATTTCATCAGAAACGTAACATCCGTTCTGCATAGAGCTGACAGAATTGGTCATTCCATGAATTACAGCACAAGGATGGAAGATACAAGTTAGAACATATTTTCCCTAAAACAGGTGACCCTCAATCAAATCACATGAAATTTGTAGAATTCCTGCTGGAATCACACATCCAAACAGGGTGATATTTCATTATGTATGCATTTCAGGGTTGAAATAGAGAACACACCTGAACCATCTGTCGGTATTCAATAATACGACTAGGACCATCTGGGTTACTTGCATAGCTTCCTTTTGGAACCCCCCAGAGTACAGGGTCATACCTTTAGTGTGCATATGACCGTGAGAATAATTTACAGGCAAGAACATAACAAACTTTACTTTGAAAAGACCACCAAGATGCATTAGTATGTGTAATGTTTGAAAGAAAAGAGCAAGGAAGAATACCCCCAATTGTAAGGATCCTCTTGCTGAATAGATACTATTGCAGCTTGTTGCTCATCTGAACCTGGAGGGAGTTTTGCCAGCTGAGCCTCATCTGCCAGAGTAAATGAATTTCCCCATTTATTCAAACAGGAACAACAAAATAAGTCAACTAAACATACATCAGATGGAAGTGAAAGAATTTAGTCCAATCCACTAAGGACTTATAAATAGTCATCACCAAAAGATACCAACCAAACAAGAACCTTTCACATATTTCCATAAGAAAAAAAATTCATGAGCCATAAAAAAGAAATTCATTTCTGGAATTATGTTGAACTCAAATGTTGTGTAATTTCTGTTCTACACTTGATTAATAATGTAGATTCGATTTTGTATTTTATTAGAAGTTCAAATTAGAAAACACAAAAAGTAAATTGCAACAGTGACTTAACCATCGACTACTCAGTCCATACAGTTAAATGGTAAAACATAATAAAAGAAACTTTCCTTACCAACAAATTTCCAATTGCTTTTGTTGTCATCAACACTAGCAAAATGAAAGCTTGGTAACAAATGAACATGAGTCAAGCCAGCAGCAGACAATTTTCTCAGGTGACGTATTCCTGCTGAATCCTGCATCACAGTTTCCATAATGCGACCAGGATGTTTTGTTATAGGTGGTGAAACAGAAATCGTTCAGTAAATTAAGTCTGAACAACCTGAAATGTAAATGCACGAAATCCTCCACGAGAGTTACAGTCCACTGTGCTATCATGAGCACTGTAATTAACAATTAAGATGAAGCAGAGAAGTAAATTCTCCAAAAGAAACATGCATAAAATCCATCAAATTTACAGTTGCATAAATCAAGTAGCACAGTTCACCTGAAATCACGAATATGCAACTCATAGATGCTTATGTCAGAGAAGGACTCAAGGTTTGGCTTCTCATCTGACAATTCATCCCAGGAAGCTGGCTTTAAAGTTTCACTATTAATGTCAACCAACCAAGTCCGTGTGCCATTTGCAGAAAGCCTGGCCAAATTAATAGTAATATTTTTTTTCAATATCTGTATGGATTATTAAATTAGTGTAACAAATTAATTAAAACACACATACCCTCTGGCATAGGGATCATCAGCTAAACATTTCTCAACTTGTGATGTACTAGGATGATAAACCTTAACTTCATACAAATAGTACTGGTTCTCCCGGTATCTTGGTACAGTAACACTCCAAACACCATTTAACTCCTTGAGTTGCACAGTTTGCAGTAAAGGTCCTGCTGGACCATCATAGAAGCATACTCTAACATCCTACAGAAATAGCAAGGAAATTTTAGTTGCAAGCAAAAAATATAAGGGACCATAGATAACAGCTGAGATGCTTAGTGACGTTCTGCAAGCAGACCTGAGCTGTAGGAGCCCAAAGGTAGAGGTCGACATCTTTATCACTGAAAACTGCACCAAGTGGTCCAGTATAAGCAAACATGTCATCCAATACACCAGGTAGTTGCAATCCAGTAACATCTTGATGCCTCCCATGAGCTGCAACAAAAAAAAAACAGTAGGTGAGAGTTGCAGAAGAAGGCAACATAAGAGCAGAGATTTTCGGATTACCATCATAAGAAGCGACAGCTAGTTGGCATTTCACAAGGCTCGCGACATCAACAGAGCTAGGGACTCTGAAGGTTCTGTAACTTCTGATAAACGGGAACTTCTCAGCCACCTGAAAAATGTCAAGTGGCAGTCCATATGAATTCGTCAAGGATTATGAAGAACGAGTACGCACAACAGCACAAATCACTCTTGAAAAAATGGTACACTTGTCAACTAAGAATGATCTTACATTGTCTGGAAGGCTGGCATGTTCTGGTTCGAGTTCAATTTTTGAATCATAACCTACCAAATCAGCAAAGATATTTCAAATTTGGTATGCATCAATAAGTTTCTACAGCTATCATAAATCATCTTTGGGTGAAAAGAGCTTAACAGACAAACAGTTTACTTCACCTACCATGAATGGCCCCATCAGATACGTGCATCGTGGCATCTCTGCTTGCATACAGGAAGAGGGAGGTGTCTTGATCGTTTACATTCCAGGCAATCAGAGACCTTGTCACCCAGTATGCCCTCGCATCCGTCACGAACCCCTGAAGATGAAACACATCAATGCTAGAGTAAGCTTCACAAAAATCAGTTCATATGGTGTCTAAATTCAAAGAAAAAAGTCGGAAAAAATTTAAGAAATTTTCACTCTTGTGCTGACGACACAGCCTCACAAGTTACTAATCTCTATCAGTGTTTGCAATTTCGGTCTGCAGACACTATTCCGCCCGAAATTTTCCATATTTTTTGTGAGTTTAGTCAAAATCTGGTCAATATTTCTTCATTTTTTAAAAAAAAAAGTTCTAAAAATTCCAAAATTTCCCCGGCATTAGTAAATACGCAGAACAAAATTGCAAACCTTCTATATGGTAAGTACTCCATCTGTTACAAAATATAGCAACCTATAACCGGATGGAACACATCACACATCCTAGTACTATGAATTTGGACATTTACGGATATATCATATCTGGTCCTAGAGGGTTATATTCTACGACGGAGGGAATATTATAACATACATCAGTACGGTCACTGGGAAGTGGGTCCTACGGCGTCAGAGGGACGACTTTGCAATACCAGAAGAACCCCAAGGGGCTTGTTAAAAAACGTAGCAATGAAACAGCGGCTGACATGTGGGCCCCACATCCCACAGGTGGGGGCATCTCGGTAATTTGTCGGAACGCGTGGGAGTCCAGCGACGATTGCGACATCAACGGAAGAGAAAAAAGCAGCCGCGAGCCAGCGATGGCGCACCTGGGAAGCCACGGCGGCGGCGCACTCCTCCCCCACCGCCATCGGCGTCCGCGGCGAGGCTGCGGCGACGGCGGGCGGCCTCCGTGTCCCGCGAGCGGCGGCGCGGGCGGAATGCGCGTGCCCCTGCGGCGGAGGCAGCGGCCGGGCCGTCCCCGATCTCCCCGGCGAGGCGGAGGCGGAGAGCCGCGAGGTCGTCGGCGCGAGGAGGAGGAGGGAATTGGCGTGGAGCAGCATCTGCATTTGAGAGGGTTTGGATTCGGGGGGGAGAAGGCGAATCGAAGGCGAAGGCGAAGCGGTGGCATTTGGAGCGAACAATAAATAAATGAATAAATAAATTTTCTTTTGTGCGAAATGAGGAGACGACGAGAAACTAAAGCGGACGGTTGTCTTTCGGCCTTTGGCGTTTTTTCATTTTCACCCTTTTTTTTCTTTTTTTTTCTTTTATTTTTCCCTCACGTTTGGCTCATCTCGTGTTGTACTCCAACAGTACAATCTTTTTTGGGGTGTTTATTTTTGTTTTTTTATTCTTTTTGACGAGTTTCACTTTAGTTTGTTTGGCCATTCATTCTCTATTGGAAACGCAAAGTGTGAGAGAAATTAAAAGAATCGAAAAGAAGTTTTTCTTTTTTGAGTCAGCCAAAGAAGAAAGTGATTAGAGGATGAGTAATTAACGAGGAATGATGTCATGACGGCATGACGTACACTCGAGCATGAATGACTCTTGAGGTAGAATACCACCCACAAAAAACAAGTGATTAAGTGAAGTGTCGTCTAGGATTACTTTCTACGACGGCAGATAAGGACACTCTTTTTCCAGAAAAATATAAAAACTACAAAGTGGTATACGGAGAATTTTGTGATATTTTTATTATTTATGCGCGCCCATGTATGCCATTTTGGATCTAACATGGATGATTTTGGTCGTTGATGTGTGTACAAGATGATGGTAGATATAATTCAAGAACCTAAAATTTCAATTTCAAAGATAATACGTATGGTTAATATAACTATCATAATACTCACGTGTTGCAAGGGATAAAGATAATTACTTGTACATATATACTTCCTCTAGTGCATGTTAATGTCACGATCTCCAACAGTACAATTTAACCTTTAATAACTTTCATAAAAATGTATTATGAACAACTATGAATGTAATTTGCATCGAATGAAAATTATCGACGAGCTATACCTGACAATTAGAGACATGAGACATGTATTTTTATAGATGTTCGGTTTTTAATCATAAGTTGTTATATTTTAGGATGGATGGAATATATTGTGGGTCTGTTTTTTTTCTTTTTTGGCAAGATTTTTTTTCAATATGTTGATGATGCTTTAATGGTGGTTAACTTCGTCATGTCAAATTATCAACCACCACCGGTATATATATAGGTTCCGTCCAATCTAGAAGTGCGATGGATGAAAATAACTGGGTTGGTGATCTTAATGGGCTCGCTAGCTCAGTTTTGTGCTCGGGCCATGCGGCTGCACGCACATTTGCCTGTGGAAACAAGTCCATTGACACCTTCCAATATAGGTCCAATGCGAATCATATCCCTTATTCCCTTAACTATAACATCAAATATTTTAATCCTCTATCTATTAAAACTAGTCCAAACTGAATCACTCAATCGTTTTGAGGATAATTTTTATTGACGTGGCTTATTGACCTAATCAAACAGATTGAGTCAACATGTGGGGCCCCACATGTCCTTGTCTCCACTTCTTTCTCCTTCTCTCTTTCTTTTCTCTCAACTCTCTCCTCTTTCTCTCGTCCCCTGCAGGCTGCATCTCTCTCGGCGTCCTTTCCCATCTACCCTCTTCCTGTGCCATGGTAGTTGCAGAGGAAGCCATGCATGGGTAGTAAGCTTTAGGGACGGCGAGCAGATGACTAGCGAACTTTTGTTGTTGTTGCTTCGCCATTGCCGTGGAAGGCCCCTCTTCCTATGCCATGATGGCCGCCGAGGAGGCCACAGGCGTAGCGAGCTTCGGGGTAAGCGAGCGGATCTAGGCGCGTGTAGCCGATGAGATTCTACTGTCGCTGCTTCGTCGTCATCGTCGCCGTGGACATCCTCTCTTTCCCATGCCATGGCAACTCCCGAGGAGGGCGTGAGCAACGAGCTTCGGTGCTCACGAGCAGATCCAAGCAGTGTGGCTAGATCCCTCCTCTCCTTTTCTATCCATCGTCGTGCATGCCGCTACTGCTTCTAAGGCTCAGTTCGTTTGTCCAGGTTCCCAACCTCTCCTTCTTGATTTTCGCGCGCACGCTTTTCAAACTGCTATTTCGATGCGTTTTTTTGTAAAAAGTTTCTATACGAAAGTTGTTTAAAAAAATCATATTGTTTCATTTTTGAAAAAAAAAATTAGCTAATACTTAATTAATCACTTGCTAATGGATCGCTCCGTTTTTGGTGCAAGAGACAAGTGTTCCGAACCTGCTCTCTAGAACGCAGCCTCAGACTTGTGGAAATATCGCCATTGTATCCCTTCCTCGAGCCTCCATGACCTATCATTGCTGCTGCCCATCCTTCCCGACACGTTGAGGCCGGAGCCAATGTCGCTGAGATGGATGGGGATCGACGAGAATAGAGGAGATAAGAGAGGGAGTCACTGATATGTGGGTCCTATATATTGACTCGTCCGGTTAGACTAGGTCAACGAGCCATGTCAACAAAAACTATGCTCAAAACTTCAAAGGAAGCTATTTTGCACCGATTTAAGTGCAACCATGAGTTTCCGTGCCCAATTTTGATCTTTTGTCTTATTTATTTTTTTTATGATTATAATTTTATTATTATTAGATGATAAAACATGAATAATACTTTATGCGTGACTTTTGTTTTAATTTTTTTTAAAATTTTTTTAAATAAGACGAACAATCAAAGTTGGACACGAAAAAACATGACTGCACTTAAATTGGGACAGAGGGAGTATGAATAAGATCAAAATTTTAGAGGTAGTGAAGGTGGACTTATTTTCCCATGCTTGTAGTGGACCTTACCTCTAGCTGAGCGGGCTACTCTCGCGTCGTCTCGGCTAGGTGGGCCGAGAAAAACCGAGCCCATACGCGTGAGTTTTAAGAAACCTTCCTCGTGTTCGATTCGGATCAAATCCAGTACCCTATAAATCAACCATCGAGAACAAGAGAAAAAAACAAACCCTAACTAACACCCCGATATCCAATATGGATACGCCGCCGCCGATGCAATCTGACGCGGCGGCGCCGGCCGCCGTCGTCGACTACTCCAACCTCACGACGGACCTGGTCATCGACATCCACGGCCGCCTCGCGTTCGTCGACCGCCTCGCCGTCGGCGCGGTCTTCGGCGCCGCGGGACACGCGGTGAAGCCGGAGGCGCCATGGCTGGTCCTCCCCGGCGACACCCCCGAGACGAGCCGTCTCTACTCCGTCGCCGACAGGCGCGTCGCCGCCACGCGCGCCCCGGACCCGGCGATGCGCGGCTGCTGCGTCGTCGGCTCCTCCGGCGGGTGGGTGGTCACCGCCGACACGAGGGCGCGGCTGCACATGGCGAACCCGGTCACCGGCGAGCAGCACGAGCTCCCGGCGATCACGACGTGCCCCTTCTTCTACGTCACCAACCCGACGTGGCCGCTCTTCCACGTCAACATCCTGCAGGACCAGCTCATCCGCGTCCGCCACGGCGGCGGCGAGAAGGTCCCGGCGGCGAGGCTGCCGCTGTGCACGCTCGTCGCCGACCAGATGCGCGGGTGGGTGTACCGCAAGGTGGTCCTCTCCACCTCGCCGCGGCCGGGCGCGTACGCCGCCATGCTCCTCCTCGACGTCGACCGCCACCGGGGCAACCCGGCGTTCGCGACGTCCGACGACCCGGCGTGGCGGGTTGCCCTGTCGCCGGACGGCGTCGAGGACGCCATCCACCACCGCGGCAAGTTCTACTCCATCACCTACTCCGGCGTCGTCGAGGAGTGGGACCGCCGCGGCGTCGACGGCGTGTTTACCAGCAGGGCGGTGTCGCGGAAGCTGCCGGCCATCACCGACGGCGGCGGCGGCCACCACCACCGCAGGTACCTCGTGGCGGCGCCGGGGGGCGGCGAGCTGATGGTGGTGACGAAATCCTTCAAGGTGGTGGAGATCGGGGAGCGCTACATGGACAGCGAGAGGCGGGTGTGCTTCACGGTGCAGGTGCTCGACGACGGCGACGAGGGGGGGAGGTGGAGGAGGGCGGCGAGCATCGGGCAGGCGGCGGTGTTCGTCGGAGCGAGCAGCAACTCGGTGTGCGTGTCGACGAAGGCGCACCCGGAGCTCAGGCCGGACTGCGTCTACTTCGCCGCCGACGAGCTGGTCAAGGGCCCCTTCTGCAGGGACGAGGACCGCGGGTTCCACAGCTACCACAGCTGCGACGACAAGAAGAGGGTCGTCGGCGTTTACAGCCTCAAGGACGGCGGCCGGGCGGAGGGGTTGCCGGAGCTCGGGGACCACGCCACCTGGCCGCCGCCGGCGTGGTTCACGCCATTGATTTAATGCATCGTGCAGCCACAATTTTGATTGTTGATCGATCGGTTTTTGCATCATCCATGCCCATGCATGATTATGGTATGGATTGCCTATCGGCCGGCTAATATCGTGAATAAGACTAATGCTTCCTTCCGTTCCAATTACACTTTTTTTTGGACAGTTATATTTATGACGTCACATTTATAAAAAAAAAGTCTGATTTTTTATTGTGTAATTGCATATAAGATTTAAAATACTTGTACTATGTTTTTTGAAGTGCTTAATTATAAATGAGATAAGAGATTGAAATAATTAATTATCTCGTTGATATTATCGATACACTTTAACCAGCAAAGAAAAAAAAACAAAAAAAAAACAGGAGGGAAGCGCATGTCTTCCCGTCTTCCACACCATAGTCTGCCTTGACTGCCACAAAATGTGGCGATAGCATTTTAGCACAATATTTCGTCTTTTATACTAAATGAGCTAGTGTCAGCCAGTGTCAATCCTCAAATTATAAATCCACAACCCCAGTAGACAAACTCTTCTAAGGGTGTGTTTGAGGGATAGGAGATTAAGAAGATTGGGAAGATACGTAAAACGAGGTAAACCATTAGCGCATGATTAATTGAATATAAACTATTTTAAATTTCAAAAATGGATTAATATGATTTTTTAAAACAACTTTCCTATAGAAAATTTTTGCAAAAAACGCATCGTTTTGTAGTTTGGGAAGCGTGCACGCGGAAAACGATGTACTTTCTAACTCAATGTATCTAGAACGAACGCAGCCTAAATCTTCATTGAGGATCTAAAAACAAGCTTCGTCAGACTCTCTAATAGATCTAAGGGACGTGCTAATGTGTGTGTTCGTGTTGATAAGCTCACCTGTTCTCGTGTCATGGGCTCTTTTTTAGAGAAGTGGTTTCTACCCTGGCTTAAACTTTCAGATCAGATTGCAAAACTTTCGGTTCAAAATTTTAAGCTTTCAACTAGAAATAAAAAAAACTAAATCTTTCGGTTCAAAATTTTAAACTTTCAAAAAATAAAAAAACTATCGGGTCGATCAACTTTTGATACTTTTAGCTAAAACATTCAACTAGAATGGCAAAATGCCAAAATTGCTGATCATCCAAAGTACGTAGCTTTCAACTAAAATTCTCAAAACTTTCATATTCAACGTCTGAGACTTTCTACTTATGGACTAAAATTTTCAAATAAAAACTCAAAAAACATTCAACTAAAACTCACAAAACTTTCAGATACAATACTTGAAAACTTTGTATTAATGGACAAATTCCAACATGAATTTCAAAATTTTCTACTCAAAAACCCATGGAAATTTTCCGGGGCCCATCAGCAAGGAGAAACTGTGGAGGAGAAAGGAGAAGTCGGTGTCCCAAGCTTGCCGCTATCTCATCGGGGACGGAAGAGGAGGATCTCTATGGAGCTGCTGGCTTGTGTGCCGACGTACTTGCAATGCTTCTCATTGCTAGTGCTCAATAAAAATCAAAATCACAACGGAAACAATCAGCAAGAAAATGATTAAAATATCACAACAAAAAATTAGGGGCTTAGAACCTCAATCGAGCAGAAAAACTCACATTGTAGAACAATTGAGGTTTGATGATCAATGAGCACACCACGCCTTGATGTGAAAATTGAAAAACAAAATCACCAATTGCAAGGATGAACTGATAGTTTCCACCACAATAGAGAGGGGAGAGGGGAGAAAAGAGAAGGGTATCGCGTGGAGGAAGAGAAGAGGAGGTTGATGAAAAGAGGAAAGGGAGTGGAGGAGCATGTAGGCTTATGTGAGCCGACCGTGTGCCGCCAATGCATGTGCGTGAAATAGTTTTCTCCTAGATATAATAACTTGATTGAAGAATTTTCCCCTAGATGTAATAACTTGATTGAAGAATTAAAAAACTTAGTACTTTATTAGAGAAGACCGTAATAAACTTACTTGACTAGCACAATTGCACCATAGAAGGAAGGGGATTAGGAGGCAACATGAAGGAGGCCCACCTGATCTGACAGAAACCCACATTTTGACTCACAACCACCTATATCAGTTCTGTATAGAACAAACAATCAAATCATATTTTTTTTTAGAATTACACACTCACACTCACCCACATGAATTTATTTTAAACACAATTAGTTAAATGGCATTTTGAAAAAATAATTGACAACATATATTGTGATCCCTGTGTCACTGCAACTGCAAAAATCTATATATGTACCAGCACCGTGTCACTGCAGCTGCTGCATCGGCCGGTTGGAGAACCGCCACTCATAAGCCTTCCCAACCACTAATATGGATTTTTTAGTAGTGTACACTTGAAAAAAAAAATAAATAGCAAATTCCATTTGCATTATGCGGTGTCAAATATAAAAAATATTATGTTTTCCGTAAGAGTATATCATATCAAATCATGCTTGTTTATAAATATATGCTGCTAGATTAAATTAATAGTTTTTTCTAAAAAATAATTCTTTAATATTTAGACCGCATGCTAACTGGTGCAACTAGGTTTACTGTGTTTAGTTCACACCAAAATTAAAAGTTTAGTTGAAATTAAAACGATGTGACGGAAAAGATGAAAGTTTATGTGTGTAGGAAAGTTTTGATGTGATGAAAAAGTTGGAAGTTTGAAGAATTATTTTTATCTAAACACGGCCTTAGTCTTACAAAATCCGGTAATCTGAAACGTGTCACATCAATCAAGGACTCTATATATATGTACACTTCCGGATTCTATATACGAGAAATTAATTAAGACGACGTAACGATCGAGAAACCCTACGATAATTTGTTCCATGGACGCGCCGAATCCGACGAGATCAGATGCAACCACGACGCCGGCGACGGCGGACGACGACGCCGCCGTCGACTACTCCAACCTCCCGCCGGATATCGTCGCCGACATCCACGCCCGCCTCACCCACCTCGACCGCCTCACCGTCGCCGCCGTCTTCGGCGCCGCGGGCCACTCGATGAACCTGGAGGAGCCATGGCTGGCCATCCCCGGCGGCGAGACGACGACGACCGCGCCGGCGCCGCCCACCAAGCTCTACTCCATCTCCGACCGCCGCGCCGCCGCCGCACGGGCCGGGGAGGCCGCGATGAGGGGCTGCTTCTTCCTCGGCGGCTCCGGTGACGGTTGGCTCGTCACCGCCGACAAGAGGTCGCGGCTTCGCATGGTCAACCCGGTCACCGGAGCTCACCGCGCGTTGCCGGCGATCACCACGTGCCCGTTCTTCTACACGACGAGCTGGGCCGGCCGCGGCTCCCACGTCAACCTCACGGCGGGGCCGTTCATGCGGGTCAGGCACGGCGGCGGCCCGCCGCCGCCGCCGCCGGAGCAGCTGATCGGCACGTCGCTGTACACGGTGACCGCCGGCCAGGTGCGCCAGTACGTGTACCGCAAGGTGGTGCTCTCCGCCGCCGCCGCGTGCCCCGGCAGCAGCTACGCCGCCATGCTGGTCCTCTCCCCGGACCTCGGCGCGCCGATGTTCGCGACGTCCGACGACCCGGCGTGGCGCGTGGCGCCGTCGCGCGACGGCGTCGAGGACGCCATCCACCATCGCGGCCGATTCTACTCCGTCACCTACACGGGCGTCGTCGAGGAGTGGGACCGCGGCGGCGGCGGGTTCACCAGCAGAACCGTCGCGACGGCGCCGCTCAAGCCCGACGACCTCAAGAACCGCAAGTACATCGCGGCGGCGCCGGACGGCAAGCTGATGGTGGTGGTCAAGTTCTTCAAGGACATAAAATACCAGACCAGAGGCAGGGATGGATATTTGCGGAGAACGCACACGGTCACGGACAAGCGTGTGCTGTTCAAGCTGCTGGTGCTCGACGACGAGGAGAGCGGGAGGTGGAGGAAGAAGGAGGAGGAGGTCGGGGACGCGGCGGCGGCGGCGCTGTTCGTCGGGGCGAACGCGTCGATGTGCGTGGCAGCGACGAGCGGCGGGGACCTCGCCGGCGGATGCATCTACTTCACCGACGACGACGTGGCGCGGGGTCGTCCGTTCGACAAGAGCAAGGACGATGATCACTGGCGTTACAGGGAGGACGACAGGGAGATCGTCGCCGGCGTGTACAGCCTCGAGAAGCACAGGGCGCACAAGCTGCCGTTGCTCCAGCGGCGGCGGCGCACGCCCAGTTACGGTCACGATCACGACGACGACGACGATAACTATGATGGCAATGCCGATGCCGATGACAATGGTGGCGGCGGTGATGATGATGGTGAGGATGAGGAGGAGGTGCAGATAGGCAAGATCTGGCCGCCGCCGGTGTGGTTCAAGCGTTGCACCTCCGCCACCTCCTCTTCTTCCTAATATATCAGGAGAAAATAAAATAAATTTGTGTAAACTGTAAAGTGGCAATTTTGTAAGTATAATGTGGTTTATAATTTTCCATAATTATTCAAGTTTCATGAGGAGTAGGATATTTCATGAACAGAACAAATGCATATTATTACGCAAGGGACCAAATATACTCCGTTCAATATTACAAGTCATTATGACTTATTTTAATAAGAACGTTTTTTATTTTGATCAAATTTATAGAAAAATAGTACTCCCTCTGTCTCAAAGTATAGCAACATTACATATATCTACAAAGGGAGTAATATCTTTAAGGGTTATATAGTATGAAAGTATGGTTATATAGTATGAAAGTATATGTAATGTTAGATTTAAGGGTTAATTGGATCCACGACTTTCAATCCGCTAGTTTCGAAAAATATCATTACTAATCACGTAATTGGAATCATGCCACTGCCAAACATCCAAAATCAGATCTATGGCACTTTGTGGCTACCATATTTTCGTATAGACCAAAATACCCCTGCCTCTTACAACTTCACAATCTGATGCTTTAATCCAATTAAAATTTCAAATAAGAGTACGAAATCGCTGCTCCAACAAATCTTAATCTTAACTAATTAAAAGATTTGTATTTTTCCTTTCGTCACATTATTTTTTCGTCTGTACCGTTCGTCCGATCCACCGATGACCTCTGTTCCCACCTGCGCCACGCGGATATCGCACAAATTCAAATATCGATATAAAATCTAATTATCGGACATATAACCAGAGGAAAATAAAATGAACGAGAAGAATAAAAGAACCGCACAAACAAAAAAATCGCGCAAAAAAAAAAACCCTCGACCGGCTCAAATCGAACCAACTTTTTTCATCGAGTACTTCAATGCCGCGAATCCCCCAATACAATACCCAAGATCCCCAAATTGAAGATGAATATATGAACAACAAAAAATAATCCCCATATCCTTATTTCAACATATGAACAACACATACAAATCCTCAAGATAAAAAAAAGCATGAATAAATATCAACAAATCACAAAAATAAGTCTCTTAAAACATTCATCACAAAAATAAAATCATAGGGAGGGGATGGAGGAGCCCCAGCGTGCCCACAACCGCTACCCACGACCGTGCTCGTCGCCGATGCATCAGCCGCAGCGCCCGCTCCAACCGCCGCCTGCTCCTGTGCCCAACACCAGAAGAGGGGATGGAGGAGACTATCGAGGAGAGGACGCCGCCCGCCGGAGGAGGAGCTCCGCTGGCTAGGGGAGGGCACTGAAAGTCGTCGAGTGAGGGCGCCATGAGCCGCTGTGGTTGTGCGGGAGGGGGAGCGGGAGCAGCGGCGCTGCCGGGATGCCAAGGGCAGGGCACCGCCGGCCATGGAGAGGACGCCCTAGCTGAGGGGGGAAGCAGCGTCGCCGGTGGGGGAGGAGGACGGGGAGCGACGAAGGGAGGGTGTCGTCGGCTGAGAGGAATGTGCAGTGGAGGAGAGAAGAGATAATGCGGGCGGGCGGGCGGAGAGAAGACGAGAGGAAAAAGGGAAAGGATAAGAGCAGGTACAATAGTAGATGGTATGCCGGCGACATGCAGACCACGTAGACCGGATCGATGATTTGGCAGAAAAAAGGCAGGAGAGAGACGGTGAGTTGGCGACTAAACTGTCGCCCAGCTGCATGCGTGTTTTGAGAAAAGTGGGCCCCATCGGTGCCATAGATCAGCAGCGGTGAGACAATCTCCAGATAGAGAATAAGATGAATGAAGAATAAAATATTATTGCAATGAAAGGATGGACAGACGGGTTAGAGCCTGCTTATTGTGCTGGTAAGCTACTAAACCAACTTTTGATGATGTGCGGAAAATTGCAGCCGACTATGAGCGTTACTATTGATCTTGCTCTAAGAGCAGGTACAATAGCAGGCTATAAGCCAACTATAACCACATCGAGAAGAAAAGAGAAGAGAGAGAAAAAAGCGGGTGTTGACGGTCCTTAAATCATAATATCTGACTGTCAATACCTGCATATAATGAAATAAAACATGGTATCCAACTTAGTGGTAGGTAGTATTACTAATCATTTCCACTAGTGTTGGTGAAATATGTGTATGCAGGTAATTTGAGGAGAAAACACATCCGTCATGTGACAGAATGCACCTCCGTGCATTCAGGACGCGTTTACACGGATTAGAGGCCCAATAAGTCAATAAAAACCATTTAGAATTGGGCCAAAACATAGCCCAGGTTGTTGGGGACGCAATAAGCAACCTCCCGGCCGAAGGAGAGGCCAGGAGGAGAGTTTTTGGGTTCGGCCGAACCCACCAGTTCAGCCGAACCAATCCTGGTGCTTCCCGCCATCTGCTTTCACCTGGACGGCTCGGATTTCTCCCCTAAGGCGGTTGCAGGGTGTTTTGGTCATTTTCTATACCCCTAACTGTCATTTGGAGCCTATATAAGGAGGTCACCTTCTCATTTCCAAGACACACAACTTTGAGCTGAATTACAAGAGGCTCTATTGTATCTTTTGTACATTAGAATAAGGTAGAGAGTGAGGGAAAGCTTTGGAGGAGTGCCCGAAAGTTTGGCGCTCATCCGACTTCTACCTCGACGAGTGTAGCTTCCTAGGAGGAATTCTGGAGGAATACCGGAGCTATCGGTACACTCTGCTCCGGGTTCGGAGAACTTCTTCTATAAAGTAAGCATTCGTGTTCCTTTCTTATGTTATTTAATTACTTTGTTTAAGTAAGATATATTTTCATCTTTGCGGGTTCATTGTTTAGTATTCATACTAAGTGCTCTAGTACTAGGACTCTGGATAAAGAAGGAAGTTCCTGTACGAGTATTAGAGTAGTAATTAATAACTTAGACGTAGTGTCTAGGTTAGATGTTACATTTCTTTGTTGTGTATCCCACGGATTTGTCAGAGGTAGGCGGCAAGTGGTGACAACCCTGAATCCCGTCCTAGTAATCCTCCACGTTCGGATACATCATAGAGCTATAGCCGGAACCACGCTGGCAGACCAGCAAGGGTCGGTGCCCGAAGCAATAGATAGGAAATTACCTTTACTTAGTTTAGATAATTAAAACTCATAGAAAGTCCTCTCTAGCCTAGCCTGCCTATCATCAGTTGTTGTCCTTGGATAGTCTTAGCCTTAGGTAGATTACACACGTTCCCTGAGTTCGATATCCTTTTAGGGTCACCCGAAGGTGAAGTGCTATAGCGGTATTCTGTGCGCTTGCGGATTTATCTGTGGTTGTAAGAAATACCAACAAGCATTTCTGGCGCCGTTGCCAGGGAACGGTTGCTAATTTATCCGAGTCTAGGTCATCCTCGTATCTTATTTTTATTTCTTCTTCTTTTATTCTTTTCCTTGATGGAGCAACCCACAATTCGACACCTTTTTGCTCCTCGGGCTGATCTTTGTGAGCCGTCCTGTTCTGCAAAACCAATCCTATCCGATGGCTACGAAATCGGTCCTGGCTTTATAGCCGTGATTCGAGAGCAAACCTTCTCTGGGGGTATTGGTGAAAATCCATATCTCCATCTTCGGGACTTTGAGCTAGTGTGTTCATGTTTATCCATCGTAGGCATGACAAATGAAACTCTAAGGTGGAAGTTGTTTCCTTTTTCTCTTAGAGATGAAGCGAAGCAATGGTACACTCTGTCTATCAAGAAATTCCAAGGTGAATGGGAGGAGCTTAAGTGCAAATTCTGCCTTGCTTTCTTTCCATTAACCCGTGTAATTAATCTTCGATTAGACATCCTTTCTTTCCGACAGAACGAGAAGGAATCTCTCGGTGCAGCTTGGGCTAGGTTCTTACTGTTAACTTAGTCTGGTCCAGACTTGTCTTTACCTGACCATGTGTTGTTACAACATTTTTGGTACGGGTTAGACAAGGAGTCTACCGTAAATCTTGATATCTCCGCCGGAGGATCCTTCGCACACAAGACAACCGCCGAAGGAAGAGAACTCTTAGATCTAATCTTAGAGAATGATTCTTTCGGCCGAAGCGAAGCCATCCCGGAGGTCGAGATTATCCATGAGGATCCTCTGCACATGGAGTCGGAACCCGACTCAACTGCCGAATCCTCGTTCTAGTTGCTGGAGCGGGAAGAAGAAGAAATTCATCCTCCGGAAATTCCATTCCAATTCAGGGATGATCTTTATGAAGATTATGGAAACACCCTGAATTATTCCAGCAATACAAAGGCTCATCCCAAGCATGAGCCGTTCGAGGAGGTGATGTATGTATCTTCGTTCGTTTCTTCTGAACCTATTGACCATCTTCATGAAACGGAACGACCCTCATCACCCTCGATCAAGCCTAAGCCTTATCCCTCTGTCCCTCAAAACGTTGTTATTGTTTATCATCAAGAAACAACCAGGTTCTTGCACGATGTATCTCTTGAGAAGGAGGCCATAGACAAGCTTGAGACATCGACTCTGGAGGACGTGAGAAAACATTCCACTTATGAGCATGAAAGTTTTTCTTTCAAAATTTCCCTGGATTCATGCTCGCTTAAAGAATCCCCAGAGTCCTGTTCGATTAGTACCGCTTCTCTGTGTGAGGACCACAACCACCTTACAGTCCTCATTTCTAACATGTTTAGAAGTGTGGCTGTGGATGCTTATATTTATCATAAATACTGCAAACCTCGTACTTGCTTGTGGCACTAATCTTGCAGAGCGATGTCCCGATGGTCAAGCTTTTGACCATAAACAAAGCACTGCCGAGAGATACCCCGGATTATCATGGTAAGTTTTCTTCCTGATAAAAGCAATAACCAGTTTTTAGGATAATATGCACCTTCGGGTATTCTTGGTCGCTAACCATTGCATGTTGATATTAAGAAACGAGGGTCATGCGATGCCTAAGAACACTAGCTACATCAATTGTACACTTTGGTGATCCTTGGTATTGGAACACACTCTATAGGAGAATCCGACATCACACACTTGGTTTTGTTGTCTTGCGACCCAAAAGTCCAAGTGTGGGGGAAGGTCGACGAGC